GAAGATATTCTAAATCGACTTCATGGTTCTAAAGTGTTCTCGAAAGTTGACCTAAAAGATGCTTATCTTCAAATCCCTTTAGATCAATCCTCATCTATTTTGACGACAATTAATACTCCTTTTGGTCTGTTCAAATACAATTTCCTTCCATTTGGTCTAAGTTGTTCTCCAGCCATATTTCAGGAAGTTATGAATAAGGTGGTTAGTGATCTTGAAGGTGTTGAAGTTTATCAAAATGATCTCATTGTCCATGGTTCTGATAAGGTAGTTCATGACCAGAGACTTATTGCGTCGTTTAATTGAGAAGAATATTACAGTGAATCCTAATAAATGTTCATTTAGTGTATCTAGTTTTGAATGTTTTGGATACCTAGTTGATGGTAATGGTTTTAGACCAGATATGAAACGACTAGCTCCACTGACAAATGCACCGTCTCCAAAAAATCTTACGGAACTACGTTCACTCGTGGGTGCTCTTCAATACTATTCCCGTTTTATTCCTAATTTTTCTTGTCGTGCAAATTGTTTATTTAATATTTTGACATCCAATTCATTTAAATGGGGTGAGGAACAAGAGTCATGCTTACGTAGTCTACTAAAGTTTCTTCAGTGATGCTGTTCTTCGAACTTACTCCCCTAGTGTACAGTCTGTGCTTTTCACTGATGCATCACCTGTGGGTATTGGCGCAGTTTGGGAACAGGAGGCTAGACCAGTTATTTGTGTTTCATGCAAACTTACTGTTACTGAACAAGGTTATTCACAGACTCAGCGAGAAGCATTAGCTGTGTTTTGGGCTGTTAAAAGACTTCATAGATATTTATTCGGAAAGAAATTCACTATTGTTACTGATCATGAGGCTTTAAAGTTTATTTATCATCCTGAAAAATCCTTAGCACGTTCCTCAGCTGCTATGGTTCAACGATGGAGTATTGCTTTGAGTGCCTATGACTATACGGTTCAGCACAGGAGTGCCAAACAAATTCAACATGTTGACTACATTTCTCAACAGTCATTACAAGATAAACCTGTAAATACTTCATACTGTTTGTTAGTGCAACCTTTACCAGTGAAACGTCCAGATCTCATTGGAGAAACTCGTAAATACTTTGGATGTATAATTAATGCTATACGGAAAGGTTGGAATGCTAATTTGAAACGTAGATTTCCTATCTATTTTTCAAAGCGGGATGAGCTATCTACTACTCCTGATGGTATTTTGTGTTTAAATGGTCGTGTTGTTATTCCTCCTTCATTGCGTAAATCTGTCCTAGAAGATCTTCATAGTGGACATTTAGGTGTTGAAAAAATGAAGCCATTGGCGAGGCTCACATGTTGGCGGCCAGAGATAAATGCAGATATTTGTCGTACAGCAAACAATTGTGAAAAGTGTCGTAAGCTGAAAAATCAGGATTCGAAGTGGACTCCATGGCCAGTATCGTCTGAGGCCTGGCAGAGAATTCATGCAGACTATTGTGGTCCGTTTCTTGGCAAATACTATGCGCTTGTAGTTATTGATTCTTTTTCAAAGTGGCCTGAAGTTTTTTTCCCAACTTCACCAAATTCTGACTTCACAATTCAAGCATTAAGAAAGGTGTTTAGTCGAGAAGGGGTTTCAATGGTGTTAGTGACTGATAACGGCTCTCATTTTGCTGCAGATGCAGTCACTACCTGGTTAAATGGTATGGGGTGCAAACATCTGTTTACTGCTCCCAGACATCCTTGTTCCAATGGTCAGGCAGAAAATTTTGTCAGGACGTTAAAAACTGCCATTGATTCTATTGCTGCCTCAACATTTAATGAGCTGGAGAGGGGAGTAGATACCTTCCCACTGCAATATAGAAATGCCAGACATTCGGTGACGAAAGAGACCCCATCAAAACTATTAAAAGGAAGAATTCTTCGGTCGAATATGAGATGTTTGGAGTCTGCAGAAGTTACGTATTATCGTGGCAATGATCTTCGACCATCCACGGGGATTGTTCTGAAGAATGTCGGGAAATCTATGGTGCGACTTCTAGATATCAGTGACTTAGTTACACACAATCGACATGTTGATCAAATACAATTCCAGGAACCAGGTGAGTCTGTCCCGATTTCAGTTGTTAATTCTAATAATAATGAGTGCATTCTAGATAATACAGAGTCTTTATCCAATACATTGTCGGACAGACACAGTATGAACTTGAGAAGAAGACGTACAATTGATTACAGACACTTAGACTCTAATTTAAGCTGTGGCGGATGTGGTGTTTGAATGAACTAATGACTCCTTTGTACTTGTTGAATATTTGATTTCGAATTCTAAATACAGTACATTGGTTAGTGCTTGTGTAGTACTTCTTGATTCAATTGCGTTATCCCTGGGATTCTTAGTTCATACTATAATTCAATTACTCCTAATTATCATAGTTATCCGATATTCAAATATATTTATCTCTGGTAAATGGTCAGTTATATAATTTTTGTCAACGTTTTAAGCATTGGTCGTATCACAGTTACTACAATTGGACGTTGCACAAACAGAATTATCAGTTGAATTATCTGAGCCATTGACAAAACAATTGTTTGCATTCCGATAACAACCAACATTTTTAGCCAAGAGAATCTTTCCGTGATCAGTTTCACAGTAGTGCAGACCCCTGGATGAGATAATGAGTGGAGACAATTAAAACCCATCTTCCTGTACACTAGTGGCATGAATGGTCTGTGTGTTAGTACATATTTATTTATTTATTTGAACACATAAATATTGGTACAGGGGGGCACCAAATATATATGCGCCACACAAAACAGTGATAATTAGAAGAGAAGGAGAAAAGAGAAGAAAAAAAAAAAGTAATGAACGTGGGGAATTATAAAAAAAAAGAAGAGAGAGAGAGAGAGAACAATGGTGGGGGAAACGGAAAGGTACAATCAGAACAGATCTTTCAGTTAAGGAAGAATACGACCACCTTTTTATGAAGAAAGTAAAAGAAGGTTACAGCATGATCGCCACTGGCTTCTATTCTGAGCCATATCTGATAACGTCTCTAGCCACTGCGTTACACCATCTCTCGGACCCCAACCAGGGAGTCGTGAAGGACCAACATAAGCTAGCCCTTTACAGCTTTCTTTCATACCACGACACCATGTCATATACTGACCACCTCTCCGCTTTGTTAGTACAACTAAACAATTAAACAATTATTTCTGCTTTTTTACCATTAATACAGAGAAATAATAGATATTGAGTATAAATGTGGTTACATATGAAGTGTCACAAATAAAGAAAAAGTAGTCTTTATTTCGCCGTTACAAAAATCATTGAATACACAGTCACTATACCTTCTGGCCCATCATCAAGGAAGCAAAACCCATATTTACCCAGTCCTTATAACTTTGTAAAGTTGTTGACCACAGTATAACCTCAAAATGAAGCGGAAAGAGTAGTGCATCCTCAAATTCCCTAATAAGCGTAGAAAATTCAAGTGACAAGTCATTTGAGCACAAAGCAATCCTAGTTTATTTATATATTTTGATCTCTAAGGGAGATGAAATATTCTATCTTAAAAATATAAACTAACAGATCAGACCACTTTGAGCTATCGAAAATATATACACTCTGGCAAACATTCCTTTGGGTTTAAATTTTATAGAACTTCTGGTTAAATTCAACAAATATTAAGATTAATATGACTGTAAAAGGTATATATACGTAAGGAAGCTCGTTAAGCAAATGGTAAATTGACCTGATTCAATGGGATAGTGATTTAATTTAATAGGAAATTGATTACCATATCAGTAAACAATCGGGTGCTCATTAATGAATAGCTTCGAGATCACTAAATCAAAATTATTGCTAGGGGCTCCAACATGCGAAGTCAATGTTCTATGCAATTACCCAGCAATAACATTTGATGACGATTATACTATATTGCAAACCGACTAAATTTAGAAAATGTGGAATAATGGATTACGACTTAATGGCAAAATGATACCATATTTATTACCAAATTCTGGACTCTACATGTACAATACTAATGAATCTCACCAATGTGTAGTTTTAATTGGTTTCCAGTAGTTCCTCACATGATCTTAAATAGATATATTTCCTAATGGTTTTTACAAATCAGCTCGGTTGACATTGGTTATATAATAAATAAAACTGAATAATTTTGATATATCATAAATCTTCGACATTTTAAAAAGGGGATCCGATCCTGTCTCCCACATATAGCAGTGGCTATGGGGATCAGAACACATAACCCTAGTCTATGTATTCAAGAGAAATTTGCAACACCCTTGTATCTTCCTCGGCTGTTTATGACTCGATAGACGATTTTACTAATTTTTCACATCACCTATTCGTGTCCTCTTTTACCTCCTTCCGTATACATTCTTCACTATCTAGTCATTTACACACTTCCTATTACGTGATTTCAACGATGTCTCGTGATTGTTCTAAAGTTTGTTTATACAGGTTTGACCTACTTTATATGCTGAACTATTGACTAGGGTCTTTATTTTATCATTCTTATCACAACCACCAATTATTACACATTGATATCTACACTACAATTTACTGTTGCTCACTTACATTGAGATGAAAATGGTTATTTTGAATAATTGCAACAGTTATATTTATGCCAGTATCGTTATAAGCCACCCGTTTAGTGCACTAATAAGATAGTATTTACCATCCCAACCACCCAATATTATGGAAGAATAGTGTTCTTTGAGAACATTGTCGTTCTAGACAATATCTTTAGTGCCAAATTGGAGTCAACTGTGGTTTTTCAATATGATTGCTAACTTTGTCACTATAAATCGAATCCTACTACACTTTGATTACAAAAGTAAATAATCTTACAGTTGAGAATCTTGTTACCCCAACCTAAGGCAAAGTCACACGAGCAATTTGAGTCACTGACTAATTCTAATCTCAAACTACGAAATCCATCTTTGGAAATGCCGCATCAGAAGAAAACATCTACATTTCAAGTTAGAAATAAAAGTCTGTCTACCAGGTATGTTTTTATTCAGCACAGAGAATATTGACTTATTGCACAATAGTTGAAGGATTTCTCCTGTAGAAATGAAATATCTTGAGTTAGGAAATATTGAATCCATAAAATAATACAAACAGATCAATTACAAAGTTACTGTACCATGTTGAGAAAGTGTTCATACACCAATCTAAAACCAGAAAACAGAATATTACTTGACGACTTGACGGTGTTGAGGTATACTACTGTGATTTAGCAGATCTTCGCCAGAAACACACAATCGGTCTAAATCTATCACAAATCTGAAACAAATTGGTTGTCATTTAGACATTTATACCCAGTCAAGTTTGATAGAATGCAACATAATTAAATAAAACTTAAACCAAATAAAAAGGCGTACTTTGCAGGTTCATATAATACATAGTACGAATCTATCAGTGCGAATCTGCCTATTCCTTTGTTTATGACCGATCAACAAATACAATATGGTGACTGAGCTAGACGACGTGACTATCCTAACCAGTGGTTGGAAACTCTGAGTGACATGGCTCAGAATCGATCACAATGGCGCCGGTGTGTACACTCTTCCTCTTCTTTTAAACTATGAGATTAAAGTCGCCTCATATCTTTCTTTCTACGAACAAATTCTATCTTCCTGTACTATGTCCTTATATGCAATCTTTCTTTTATATATTACCACCACTGAATTAACTACTTCTATTAATTCGGTGTTCATCTTGTGCTAATGAGGCATGGCAACTTGGACCGATGCACATATGTGCCCGGTCCTACGTTGTAGCTGACCGAATGACTGAACACCAAGAAAATTTTTCGTTGGTTAGTTCTGCCTGACCGCCCTCCACTTTTAGGAACTGACGAATTTATACATAAGATGTTTTAAAATATACTTAAACATTTTTAACCAACAAACCATTGATAACGACAAAAACAGTGACTAAGTTGTGTGTTTTAGTTTGATAACTAAATTTCAATGAAACTGTCTATTTACCGATAAAACTTTCTACCCAAGTGAATCGTTCACGAGTAACATACTTAAAAAAATTAAAACTTGTTCTGGACCAATAAAAACATTATTCTATACACCATATGAAATAACTCTGTTATTTGGAAAACTGGAAGCAACTTCAAGTAGACTGATGAAAAACTTGCTTCTGACAATGTCTGGTAGAGTACCTAAAACACGAAGTGGATCCATTACATTTACACTGTATCAAACGAAATTATAACGCAGTTATGTACGACAACTCTGTATTTTATCGAGAATAAATATCATAAGATGTTCAGTTAAATCGCTTAAAGCTGTGAATTTTTCGGTATACTCCTCTAACGAAACTACGTCATACATACCGAATAAGTAGGTCCATAAATCTCGAACATTAACGACCACTAAGTCACACAAGTAATAAAAAAATATAATTGGACTATATAGGGGATAAGTATTGAAAGCTATGCTTACTCAGCCTCGAAGTATTTCGACATACATAGCCTGCGTAGACCACCAACATTCTTCGATGAAAGCGGTATAACTGTTTTCATAATGGTCACATCGGTTGGTTCATCAGCAGAGAGATGATTTTCATCCATATTATCAACATTCACAAACTGGATTTGTCTAAAAATGTACGAAATTAACATGGCCATACATAAAAATATATATAAAATTTACCTGTCAAGCTTTTCTTCCCAAGATAACAGTTTTAATTTCCTCTTCTTATTTTTCATCTTAGTTCTAGTGTCAAATAAATACTGTCCGTAGTCTAATTGGATAGAAATTTTTTCAATTTATACAGCGTTTACGAAATGAATCAAAGAAAAAAGGTAAGACATGGAAAATTAGACACGTAACTAGCCTCGTGAGATCAGTTGTTTGCTTGTTAGAGTAGCATTGAAAACAAGTTATTTTTTATTATCAAACATTTGCTCTAAACCACTCACGTTTAATAATTGACATGGTTGTGTACGTAACTCGCAACACCCCCCGATAACCTAAATATTTATACTACGTTTTCTTACATATGCAAAAATAGCCAACAGGAATGATACCTATGTTGTTTAACACTGTTCCTTATTGATTCTTTTATTTGTCGTTTTAAATTATTCCCATATACCTGTTATAACCAGTAAAATACAAATGAGAGCAGTCTGAACTATATGAGACCACGATGTGTTTGTAATGCAGATGAGTAACTTTTTTTTGTAGAACACTGAATGCAAGTTCAACACTAACTTGATGTACTTATCTGAGACGCACGTGCAATTATTAAGAATTAAAAGTTATTTGTTGGTGGGTAATTTGTAATTTTTCAACCCTAATAAACACTTTCATTTATAACGCATCATTTTTTAATTATGGCAATGCTTATCTATCGCAACAGACTGGTTCTTGCTACTAAGGATGGCTTACTTGCTTTAAAACCGTGTTCACCCTGAGAAGTTAACTGAAAAACATTGAACCGAAGCGTAGAAACTTTGGATTACATGTTATTAAATTTAATAAAATCGATTAATCGATAGGATTTTCTGCAAAGTCGGTGATCTTGGGGTTTTCCCGAATGTAGTAATGTGGAAAACTTGAAATCGTGCACAATATCCCCAAAGGTGTCAAAAATTTAGGAGAAATATTGAGGGATAACTCAGCATTTTGGGGGAACCCCCCAAAATTGCAGAAATTTTCGGGGTTTCATATTTAAATATGGGCGGATTTCCACAAGGTGTTATAAGACTCCGGGGAAGTAATTAGGTAATCTCCAAAGTTTAGATTCCCTCAGATCTGGGTAATTTGCTATTTTCCCAACATTTTCTATGGAAACCCCTCCCAAAAAAATTTCCATAACAGACAAAATTTTCATCAAAACATGTAGAATGGGAAATACGAAAAGATAAGTCAAAGATACTTCTAAAGTATGTAACGCCCTCGCATTTATCATGTAAAGCAATACACAACAATCAGCAGTAATGCAAGCCTTAGATTAAAGCAATCATGGAATCAAAACCAAAATCCGTTGTAACGGAGTCGAAATTACTATGTATGGTGTTGCTAACTTGTTCTATTTTCTTTCTATTCCAGGGCGATCAAACACAAACGCTCTGCAAGCCGAGGAACAAGGCCTGAATGCCCTAAACCCACAAGATGACTCATAGACTTTGGTACACTACCCCTCCTTATTCCTGTAAAGCCCCCGCGAATTTTAATTTTAAAAATAAACGTGCCGTGACAACAACCTCTTGTTCTCTTTTGGTGTGGGGCGTTGAATTAACCTTGTGTGTTGTAATTTCAGACTCTCTGCGCTTTTGGTGACTGCTGAAAACACGTGTTACACCGTTTTTAGTTGAAAATTGCGCGCGTCCTTAAGGATTGATTCAAATGGGTCAAATGGTTGTGGATGGAATAGAAGAAGCTTTCGCTTAACGGGCTTCGTCTCTAGCAGCAGTGGATCACCAATACTTCCAGGCAGAAACCTATGTATGTTAACGATAAAAGTGGAAAAAAAAATAGGTAAATAATAGTAAGATGTTATATTTAGTCCTTTAGAATAGGTCAAGTTTCTTCTTACAGGATTCCTGAGAAGTTACTTGGACTAGTTCAGTCGGCAGCGAATCCCAGCATTTGACAACTCTTAAGGAGTAGAATTTGTGTCTACAGTCCGTTCTGCTATGTTGTATCTCCGATTTCTAGGTGTTACCCCTTAGGTTTATATTGGGAATAAGCTTAAGTAGGTGTTTAAGGGGATGTCCAGAAGTGTTAACGATACTTTAAGCCATAAAAAGGTCACCTCTAAGACGCCTATACTCTAATAGGTGAAAGTTTGGTGAGTGGAGGAGCTCTTCATAAGGCTTGCAACATGTCTCGGACAACTTTACCCTTTGAAGTGTTAAATGTAAGTCCGTTGTCATCTGCCCGAATTTCGAGTCGAGTCAGATCCTCCTGAAGTGCCAGAATCTGATCAAATTGCTGGGGAGGGTATAGAAGAAGCTTTTGCGTAACGACATTTCGTGTTCAGAAGTCGAACCCTTCAGCCTTTGATAGTGTCGTATGTAGCTTGAAAGCATACTGCTTGCTAAGACATTATGGAGAGCCGTATATGTGAGAAAATCCGGAGACGAAAACAGGTGGAAAACTGTCTTGATAAACACACTGAATGTACTTTCATTTAATGACGGAAGCAGTCTTAAAAGGGTACCAGTGACATGAAGACGAGATTAAGACAACAGATAAGTGAAAATAGGAGTTATTGATTATGTTTTCATGCCCGAAGTAATCGCGAAGTGGATGCTCTTTCTAAGATTCGTGTTGAAGTTACTATTGCAACGTTGGCTCGAAGAGCATTTTTGCTAGTAACCAAATGAATGACAACATAAGGGACGAGGCATATAAGTCTTGAACTTGTTACACTCGGAACAGTTATTTCTTTTTATCTCAATATTGAGGTTGAATCAGATACTCCTTATTGTCTACACTCTATTAGAGCTTACTATCGTCTAATAATGACCTGAAACCAAGCCCTAGGAAAGTCCAACAGATGATTCTATGGCCCTTCAGAAAGCATATTTTACTCCTATATCAAATACTCATTTGTTTGAGTATGTCCACAGTCAGTCAGCCAAGCCTGAGTTAGCGTTTATCAGCACGATACTTGCACGAACTAACGATTCGTTTTTAATATCAGATGGATTTTGTAGATATTACAGTAATTTCAACGGTTAAGATCATGAGTCAAATGAAGCTAGACCACCATGGAAAACCTGGAAGCACTGGACGGCCGCTTCATCCTATTGTGGGACTCCTCAGCAGCGAGGTCGTGGATGCGCACTGCTGAGGAGTCCCACAATAGGATGAAGCGGCCGTCCAGTGCTTCCAGGTTTTCCATGGTGGTCTAGCTTCATTTGACTCATGATCTTAACCATTGAGATTCCTTTTTACTTGATTACCCACTGATTACGACTTCCAGATATAGTGCGTTCATTTGCACTCATCTAGTTCTACCTGCCTTGAATTCCAGTATTCCTAGATTTCTTAGTCAGCACATTAATTCAAATACTTCTAATTATCACACCTACGTCTTCAAGTTTTATGAATAACCTGGCCAGGAGCTTTCGAACATTCAAGATATAGAATGACTTTCTGGCTCTTTCAATCAAAAATGTTAATCCGCTACACTAAATAAGTTTGTGGTGTAATAGATACCCAATCAATGCCATGTTTTTAGGATAAGAAGTTTATCGGTAAGGAAAATTAACCCCGTCAAGGACTATAATTCAATTATCTTAGTCGGTACTGGGACAAAAGTAACTAACCGCTTTTTATGAACGATTTATAGCCTCTCTTTGAAGATTAGAGTGATTTCTATTCTTCGGAGATCAAAAAATGATTCAAGGTAATGTTTTCAAAAACGAAAGCCCTCCTTCCACAATAGTGGAATGAACCAGAAGTGACCCTTTTATACGATATGGTTTACGACAAACCAGTCTAGCTTTTAGGTTGGATTAAAAGTACTTTGTTAAATCTATGCTGAGGTCAGAGTTGGCACGAGCTGTGGGTACTGACTTTATTATGTGTGAATAATGGTTAATCGAAACCTCCGCTATATCATTTTTATCAAGTGTTTGCGCATTGGAGTATAATATTGAGAAGACAAAGACTTTTGTTTGTCGATAAGGGACCGTTTAGTAAAATGAACTTATTGGATTAAAAACATATTCATAGATAAACATATTCTGATAGCTGTCCAAGTATTCCCTTGTAGTATTGCTGAAAACCTCTTAGTTTGCTTAAAATCTGCATACTCGTTAATATTTCAGCAGATAATACTTTGTTATTTTCAGTGACCTAAAGGGTGTGATCGAGCATAATCTAAGGTCGCTAGAGACGTTTAAGAACTGTTTGTGGAACAGAACATGAATTGGTAGGACTAGTTTATGCACACAACCTATTTGTTTTATCAAACAAACTTTGCACATCTAAAAGACTTGAGATAAACTTTACTGTCTTTGCCACTTGATCCTGACCTGGCAACTTCACAAAATGAAGCGGGAATTGTCATTCATTGGGGAGAGGATATTCCTCTACATGTTGGGATATAACAAAAAATATATTTATTATCAAGTTCATACCCAATGAAACTATCAAGTCCAACCTTGGCATTGATACCTACATATCAGTGATAAATTTGACTACATAACTAGACCAAGGCACATAAGAACGTGGGCTCGAGCTAGAGACACCGTTGGATTCCTCCAGGTTTTATACTTATATATATTAGCTTGCATTCTTATATGACATACGTGCAGTATGTGATACGCGGAAGCACAGTTGATAGAGAGGAACCCGAATCAGGCCCTTAGCATATCATGTACACATGTTGTTGATATTTAAGCCAAGGGTAGATAATTTGCCGTGTAATTAACGGAGGTTGATGTAGGGAACAAGTCATTTTGCCAAAATATAGGGTTGAACTTGAAAAGTAGTCAAAAATTTACGCGAAATGTAGACATTATTCACCATAAATCCCGAGATATTCCCATTTTGTTAACAAAAGGGAAACATCCAGCTGTTTTACCACGGCAGGTGACGAAGATGTCTTGGAGAGCAGCCCTTTTATTTCCTCTTCGGCTCCTTTAGAAATATCGTTTTCCAAAAAGAAATGAAAAAATAAGGCATCGAGTGGAACATAATTTTTAAATTGAAGATAACCTTAAAACAGCCCAACATCACAACAGGAGGGAGGGTAAAGTAACTGATGAGTATGTATTGACGGTGAGAGAGATGGCTTTAACCCACCCAGGACATATTATTGTTTCGGGTTATTTATGATTGAGAATGATGCCGTAAATCACTGGTACTAAGGTTGTTTGTGGGGCAGCACATTTTGTATGTACCATGCTCTCTATGATTGAGCATAAGTCAATCAATCTGTGATACAGATTGTCTTCCTACGCTCGCTACTCAAACTCATGTTTCCAATTTTTGTACTGGATTGGCTATTTTAGTAAGACAACCTCTAACAAGAGATAATATGAATGTAATCTAATTTATTATACCTCTGTCTGTTCTACTACACAATGTTAAGCAACGTTTGGTGTTCATATCCAAGTGCCTGTGGTGGTCGGTGTTCGGTATATTCCTTAAACTCCGTATACAGTTCGTGTCTGTAACCGTCACTAGATAACTCTCCAACTGTATATTAATCAGAAGACGAATACGAAGTGTTAATTACGCTTATTATGGGACCACACACAGACATCCAAAATCACAGATGCGTTAAGCAAGCATGAAATAGTTGTGCCGAAAGGCAAACAAGCAAGCGAGAGAAAGCAAGTACAAGAGCGAGCGATCGAGCGAGTGAGCGAACGAGCGAGTGATGAATATGAATAACATGGACATATATATATAGTGAAATGAATGAATCACCGAGTCAATTAAGCGGTTAATAGTAAAGCTAGTAGCGTGAATAAATGCGTAGGCAACAAGGCTTGCAAGGCATACATGTTCATACATTCTCAAAAGAAATAAGGATACAATGATATTGATAAATTGTTGTACGGATGACTCAGTTCGTTAATAGGTTAATAAAATGACTTAAACGAATATATTGTGAACAAACACAATAGCATGTGAGCTGTTACATGCCTTGCTGCTCTGTTGTTTCTCTTTTTTATTTTCTTCTTCAGATTCTCGTTCTTAGGGCACAGCTGTGGAATTTATGACGTCTGGAACAAACTTGACGTATGCATCAACTCAAGGTCATGGTTTATAGCAAGCGCTCTACGAGTCTACTTTATAACAACTATGAACTTAATAAGTTGGGAAGCATGCTATGCTCCAAAAAATGTTGTAATTTGTAGAACATGCTTTTGAAAATGGCATGTACCTGCTCATGCAGAAATATATTATTATTATTATGCTCGCTGGCTTCGCTATTTTACCTAAGTTTTCCGTAACATGCTAATTCAGGCGCTTTCATTATGATCTAGTGGTTGGCATTTGATAAAAATGGGAATAATGCTAGGCATTTTTAATCGTTTTGTTCTTTTTCGATGCACTCTCGAGTTTAATTAACAACCCTCCCAAATCAAACCTTAACTTTTCCTCCCTTACCACATATCACGACTGTTCTTCTTTATCACTATATTCTCTTAACTGAAGTCTCTTCAACCAAAATTTATTCTGATAATAGCAGGTAGTATGAGTTTTATCTCATATACAATACCTTTGTCCGTTCTCCTACAAACGCTTAAGCATTGTTATTGTCTTATATCTAAATGACTTGCTGTGGTTTTGTTCCTATTTTCCGAAACTGTGTTGGTAGTGTACGACTAGAGGGCTTCTTATTGTGCCTGGAACGCAAACCCAACGTACGTGTTTGCCAAGATCACAGCCAGTACCAAGCGTCTTTCAATAGCTACTTTGTAACATTCATTAACTTATTAAACAGTTGCACCGATCTCGTTTATTCAATAACCCAATTTGAGGGGTAACTTATCGGTAAACAGATGTTGTAAAATAGTCTAACTGCTATGTCAGAAATATGTTATCATCATTACGTAATTATTGGCTACGATACATTTAGATGTCTTGAAAAATGTGGAATTTATCCCCGCTTATTCGGTCTTGTAGCGTGGTGTCCAGTCGCGATTGACTATGAACACCGCTACAAGACTACGTGCCAGTAACCAATAAGATTCCCGTAGACCAATATCAGAAGGCAGATGATGGCTGTAGTCAAGATATATTTGCTGGCGATCTCGTAGTATCGAAAGAATACCGAGATCGTGCCAAAGGAGTACAAGCGTGGTTACTAAACGTAACCGGATTCGTACAAGTTCAAAGTCAACGGGAGAGTAAGTGTAATGGCTGTCATTAGCAAAGTTAAACAAACGAGCACAGTAAAACAGTCGCTGGTACAATTAGTTTTAATAATAATTGTTTTAATTAAGCCAATCACGTTCTGTTGACAAAAGTAGGTCACTAAAGTCTCATCTAGTAAATTCCTTATCTTTAAAACACATGTTTGTCTACAATTCTGTATCTGGTGGAGTCTTAAGTGGACTGGCACAAAATCCACACTTTTAATACCTTTTACTTGAATAAATTCGGCCCCTCCTACATCTCAAGCATTGTCATCTTAAGATGTTCCTGGTATGCAATCGCCGTGGAGTTATTGGGAATACCATGCATGTTATTTCTAATGCGGCCTCATCGAAAACTGTTGTGATTACAATAAATAGTGTCATCCGAAAAACTCAAATTTACCCTAAACGGAAACCAATATAAACGTGCGGTCACCGAGTAGCAATGCTTCATAAATTGTTGTCTTCACTCTGTATCAAATAGTAATCGCTTCCGATGAAAGTTTGATGTGACCAATGAGGATATGTACTAGTACCCTAAATGTTGCCTGTATATCTCGAAAGTTCAATCCTGTTGTGCTGACCTTTGTCATCTTACAACCCATCTGAATCTATATGGACCGCATGTGCAGGCCAACTGTTATTTTCAGTGTCCATGGCCCGGTGAGTATACTCATCATTGACCTTTGACCCTTCTATTCATGTTGCAGGGAGTCTAGTCAATGTCACCTTTAAAACCTTTCAGAATAAAAAATGTTTTTATACAGGTTCATCGTGTAACCTCTATCTTTTTAATTGTAGAGCCGTCAATTGCAGCATATCATGCTTATTTTTGACCTGAAATTGGACCATTACGCATATCAATATGTTGTTCTATCGTCAGTTTAAATGTTTTCCTTGGAGGTTTTTACAAATAACTGCTGACTGTCACGCAGGACGAGTCAGTACAGAAAGTGATGTTATTTCAGAGTAACATTAGGTAATCACATTATGTCAATTCTACGACTTTGAACTAAGTCTGTTACCCTTAAAGTACCAATTAGTGCGCTTGGATTATTTAGTGCTATATTTGGGCCATACGAGCTTTTGTAGATTCCTGGCAGATCAACCAATTTGTTCTTCTTGAGTCATGTTTTGACCCTGTCAGTTATTCTCCCATAAACTTGGCTCTTTTTATACGAGCATGTATGTGTATGGCCTACACTATGCAACGCATGAATCTGCCCTGTTTTTTTCCTAGCCAAAAACGGTGAATCACGTTCTAACAAACGGAGTTGATACGCTTGAGTTCTCCGCTAAGCTTCGGTTCTCGCTTGTCATTCTTAATTTCTAAATTAAAGAGAACCTGAAATAAATTCATCCGACTCAATCTGTATTTGGCTCCTTGTTTCTGCAGTCTCACACAAATAATTAGTCTAGGTATAATATAAGGGGTTAAATGGCAACCCAAGCGGAAATAATGGTGGCTAGAACAAATGCCAAATATAACTGAATATTTCACAAATTTACAAAATAAACGTCAAGTAAGTAAGAACTTTTATTGTTTATTACTGTACAGAAAATTTTCTTTTTCTATTCACCGTATCCCTTCACACTCCGCAGTGCGACGATCACGATCAGCTAGGATGGAACTACGATTATTCAGGGAGGGGAATCGAGGACGTTTGAATCTTAAAATGTCTCAATGGTGTCAGAGCTTGTTAAACAGTGGCAGTAGCCTCTATGTAGTGGTTTGTAATCATAATCTTCAACGTTATGTAGTCCTTCATTTCATCGATGGCATTCTGGAACCTCATTCAGTTCTATTCCTTTTACTCCCTAAGGCAGTGAACTCGTCATCCATTGCACGACGATTGTGTGAATAGTAATTTGTTTGTCTGTTAGGTATGACGAATTTACGGATGAATCGTATTTCACATTAACGAAGACAGGATGCCGATATGTTAGCTAATTTCTAGGACAGCTGTAATATACCTCAGTCAAATAGCTTACAATTAAATTTCTCCACATTATTACCAGTATAGCATTTACAACTTTTCAAATATATAGCAAGGTTTTTGTGAATGTAAAGACGTTTTAGGGACCATTTTCCGGACACTGGACATAGAATATTCCAGTGCCAAATGTGTTTCTTCTACTTTTAGCTTGATGACACGTGCGTATAACTGCTATTTTACACAAAAATTTCTTTGTGGGTTAACTGAGTTTTAGGCACGTTTTGATAGGTCTGGGGAATCAGAAATCAGTTCATGGTCAAATGTAAAGTGAGAGGTGTTAATGAGTGCGTACTGCCGGACGTAAACTGACCTAATTTCCCGGGGAAGCGAATTCGTACAACATTGGATGAAAATCTGGCTTCATTTTTTAATGGAAATATCTATAATAATAATAAGTGAGTTCATGCGTGTGTTTTGGTCCGAGTAAACTGATTATACCCCACAAATAAGTCTTGGTTTTCCATTCAAGTCTCAGGTTGGGCCAGGATACTGGAGGCTCGAATGTTAGTAGTTGTGTCGGACAACCTACCAACATATCTCTCTAAAGACATCTGAAAGTTAGAGGAAGATATGCATCTGACTGAAATGGAACATAAATTCAAGCCAGAGAACCATGCGCTGTAAATAGATAGGAAAGTTAATGATGATCATACGATTACCGAACTACTATGGACAGTTACTCAGGGAGAACTGAATTCACTTGATTCGAGAAAGCATGGAAATAGCTACAGTTAATAACCTCATAACTGGTTTTTTTCATCGGCGATCAGTAACTTCACCCTACATTGGTTCACAAAAATATAGGCTACATTAATTAAGAATGTACCTTTAGCACCACTAACACGTCAACTTGCATACACGAGTTTAACAGATACTAAAAAAATTCCCATCGATATCTAGTACTATTAGCATTATTCATGGTGATACTTGTTGCAACTGGACTCGGGGTATTTTAAAATAAGGAGCTATTGTTAGCTACTAAGCATCCTGTATCAACATTGAAAATTGAAATTGAGGCGCTTCCATATTGGAAATATGTTGTTAGTTAGCATCGGTTGTGGAGAGTAATTTATCAAGGCGCTTGATACAGTGATGGACTCGAACAATCTTCTATCCTTAGAATATACGTTCAGTAGTTCCCTGGTTAGTCTGAGGCGGTCAGTTTCGAGAGAGATTTCCGCTTCTGTTTCTAGTAGGTCTCATATGCTTCAGTAACATATTTCCTTTAGAAATACGACGGCAGTTCCGATGTGTTCAAAGCGGTAAGTCGTTGACAGTTAATTGTTCATATTTTTCTATAGAATTTAATAATGAGATTTCTCGCTTACGCGAACAAAACAAAGCTCTCGTTCGGTAGGGCTATTATTTTAGCTGATTTTTCGCAGGACTTTGCAGCAGATGGAGGAAATGATAAAAGGAAAAGAAATTGAAATATATGGATTACGTAAGCTTCACTTGGTAGTTTGAAAGATTTCTAGGCCATCAATTGCAAAGCTTCTCGGCTGGGCGAGGTGTGTGTTCTAATTGCTCTGGAGATTCTATCAAAGCTAGAAACACTTTAGTAAGAGACACTGTCTTTAATCCAACCAACAAACGCCCGCTTACGACAGTAAGTTATTTAGTTTAGCAAGTTAAGAAGAAGAATTACCACATGTATTTTGTATATGCTACTTATCGCTTACTACGTCAAGTTTATTTTCGATCTCAATGGTGAGTTTTGATTCATGGTGCTTGGTTTAGTACCTAACCGGTTAGCTAGTCATAATTGTTGTCGAACCTAGCACCAACGTGCTTTAGACCAAGTTTTCATTCAACATCAACGACGGGAAGAAATTAAAGCTCTAAATATACAGAGAGTCGGTTATTAGATCAATAATAACAAGACGTTACGGTTCGAGAAAAAAAGTAAAACGTGTATAGAGGAATACTGGGACACATTATCTAAAGGAAGAATAGGGGTGGATGCGTCTATACAAATGACCTACTGTGAGCCATGTCGCTCAACACCAACCAACAATCTTAGATTTCCTTCGGACTTGAGCTCCTGGAATGTCCGCCTGACTACCCCTAGCTTCGCTATAGCATACTCATACACCAGCCGTGACTATATTTAAAGGTAGACAGTCATTAAACATACGTACAACACAAGTCAACTACTTCAGTCGATAAACAGTCAGACTAACGTATTTACCCAAAATCTTATGCTTAACCACAGTATTGCTTACTCGGTCGTTACGAAGTTCTTATACTTCGAAAACCAGAGCTCTGCGCATGTCTTTTACTCTCATAGACCTTATATCACAACCACGTAGTAATATAGAGCGGGCTATCGCTCAGTAAGCACACTAACGAACAAACACCGCTTTCACAAATAACAGGAGTTGTTGAATCCGTACCGACCCATCATCAGACAGCAAGCCATCGGACTTGACGAATCTTAGAAAGTAAGTACACCTTAGTACTTCACTCACCACTACACGGGTTGATGGAGACTAGTTTTGAAGCATTTAATATTTAGAAGCATCTCAAACACGCATATTTGCTCAAGACTATCAAAAAATTCTGCATTTTGTCAGAGTCTTGACTTGATCGACACATTGTGACGTACTTTTCATTTTCCCACTTTATTCGTCTTTGATTGCTTCTGTAGCTTCATATTTTTAATTCCCAACCATTGCTATCTTTATTTATATTTCTTTGCGCTTCCTCGTGCTATGTCGTTATTATTTGTGGCTGCTTGAGATTGTATGGGCTATGTTCTAGCAGTCTTATCTTTACATAGCAATGTCGATGAACTACTCGAGTTCTATCGATTTTTTGGGCTATGTTATGCACTCGATTAATTCGTTTGTGATCCTAATACGACTCATCGTACTAATTTGTATATTGTTCACTTCCTATGGATTAATGACTCAGTGCTTGGTACGGTCGCCTTTCAATCGACAGCTTGCAGTTTCAGTTCCTCTTCAATTTGGACTGTCAAGTAATGTCACAAGCCCTCAAGTAAAGTCTGGCTCAAAGCTGTACGCAAACATGTTACATGAAGTCATTCTCATTTCATACAATAGTGTTTCTAGGTGCATCCGAAGTATGTTTGTTGAGAGGTTAAAATGGATTTTGAACATGCACTATCATGTAATGTGTTTTAGGATCAAGTAATATGCTCTTAAATTCATCCAAAACGTGAGTAAAATCAAAGTATCATGAAAGCAAATAATTCATTGAATAAGATTCTGCTTAAGGCTTCTTTGTAGAAAGCCAAATCCATTGTTCCACATCGTAATGTTATATTTGCACCTCCACAGTGTTTTCGTCTTACCATTTTATACCCTATTTAGAATAGCGCTTTGTTTTGAAATACTTTTCTTGCTAATCTGTTATTCACCTATGTACTAAATATCTCTTGTTGCCAAGTTACTCATCTGAGATATATAGTGCATAAAAATTTTGTCCTATTTTTATAAGATTTCATCGTCGATATCAGATGGTTTGTCGGAATCCAGTTTAAATAGTCATATTCAGCAGCCTATAAAGAAACGTCCATGTGTACCGGCGAACGATGTTGAAAGTGCTGATGTAGAAAACATTAACAATATAACACCAAAAGGTAAGTATCTTAATTATTTCCTCTAAATGTTCAGAATGTCACAAACATTCAGATTTTTGAGATAGAAGCCAGAAATCCTAATTTATCAATAATCAAGTTTGTACTATAAATTCTACCGGATTTGTACTGCTCAAGAAATATCAGAATCTCGTTTGATTGCTTCACTATCAAATCCTCAAAACTATCGTACTAATTGTTAAATTCCACTACTGTGTAAAAGTTTACTTAAAAGGTTGGCTATTAAGTTCCTAGCTTCAGTACCAGGATCTTGGTTCAGGTAAATGTGTGCTGACTGTGTGAGACACCCACTCCCATTATTTGTATAAGGAAAACGTGTTTATGTACTTGTATACTGTCAATCCGTTATAAACAATTTGAGACCTGAAAAGAATGTTCATCTCCAAGTTAGCACATTTTGGATTAACAAATAAACAAGATCACAGATAACGAGTTAAATCAATTGTGGTAATTACCATAGAAAACAGTATAAGAAACGTTATCCAAGTGAAATGACTGAGACCAGAAACTATAACTTAAGCGATTCAAGACTTATAAAAAGAGAATTAATTTGTCTGAATTATTGCAATTAAATGGTTGAATTCTGTTAAGATCCCTATCCACAATCATCGGTGAGTAGACCTCCATCTCATACATTGTGTTTACAGACAGTAGTTCCGTGGAGTACTGCTTTTCGTTAGTGTGCCTAATATCAGTCAGCATAGTACATGGGAATTTTTTCTACGATTTAAGTCATTATCGTCCAATGAATAAAGGGGTTTGAATGCAATGTTTCACAGATAGAAAACTATTCTATTTGTTTTGCTATTCTTTAGACCAACTTTTTTCTATTTCGAACTGGTTAAAATTCAAAGAGGCTGATTGAAATGAACAAACTCATATCTGCCTTAGTCTTTTGCATTCTTCGGTTGACTCAAAAAGCACTTGAGTGCAATATTCTTGTTTCACTTCGAAGATGCAAATATTAGGTGGTTTTAAGAAAGCTAGCAGCTTGATCGTTCTATTTAGATTTGTTTGGTAAGCTTAAATTCCAACACCTTAAACCACTTGATTTCGTAATGATGAAGTTCGCCGCTTTTTAACCTTTGTGATTCTCTTTACTACGAATAAAAGTTTCTTAACCATGGTCAAAAATTTTTCCTGTTACAGGTGTTCGCAAATCCCCTTCTGGAGCACCTGATGAGAGTCAATGTGAAGGCGAAGTATCCAAAAGCGAATCTACGACACTAACTAACAGCGTTTTCCCTGTCGGTTCCCTTAGCCCACCATCACAAATTTATGATGCTTCCCTAGCAGTAAAAAATGCAATTAACCACAACGATTTGGCTGATTATGATGCTACTTACAGGGATTCTTCTATGTTGGATATGTCACATGCAAATAATAAAGGGGATATGTATGTATCATACTGCTTACAGCTATTTTACTCATAGTAATGTTTAGCTATTTTTGTCGTGTTCACTTAAATAACTCACCCACTATCAATTTGAGTAAAAAGACCGTTTCATCTTCCCGGAAATATTTATGTATAAAATATCGATAATATGTAGTTCTACAACAACCAAAGTTATAAGACAACAGTAGTCTACCACAAAGCAGTCAAAAGTAAGCAATGGATAGTTCAGAATGGCTATTCAAGCAAAGTATATTTCAACTAATACGAGAATAAACAGTGTTGATAATTAGTTTGACTAACGAGGTACATAGAGAAAAATAACTATTGAATACTCGTGAGTAATACCGAGTTATGAAGCAAAAACTTCACAGCTGTGAGTAATGGTAGTAATAAGTGGATTGTTCCTATTTCTGTATTTAGTCTCCTAGCTTTCCAAGTGTGTCATATTTATTATTGCTAATGTGCTACCAAGACAATGTGGAATGTTTACCTGAATTATTGTAACAAGTGGTATTTTTAATTATCTTTTGTATTCCTTTTAGGAATTTTGTAAATAAATAATTTCAATTCACCTTACTAACAGTTGATAAAAATTAAGCAGATTTTGTTCCATGGTTTTTATAGTAAATGAATTTCTTATTTTTTGCTACTGAACGCAAATCTTCATTTAAAAAATGGTAACCATAAGTACTGCGTTATAAGAGATTTTACAAAACTTACTTAAATAACAAGTTTTCGAAGCAGTATGTCAATATTGTGTTTGATTTCGCGTCATAAAAGTAATATGCATTACTTAGTAAAGTCTGCTTAGACTATCAAATCACCTTACATATCATGGGATCAGATGTATTTTTCTATTTAGCTTCAGCATCTAGGCAATGTCTTTAATTGTTACGACAAGACGGCCCTGGTACGGCCGAGAGTGGGGAGAGTTCGCTCTCCCTCTCGAAATGCTCTCACATGGCCATGCGTATATAGCCTCTGCCAGGGAAGTCCTACTCACTGCCTTCTCGTGGCAGGGGTGTTGTTTACAAAAATGAGAGGACGGAAAGCGAATATCTGGCGCCTTAACCGGACCCCAAACCAATGGTGCACATGGGCTCCAGTATCCTGAAGGAACAAATGGCGTATGAACCAATCGTTGGTCACCGGCTTCCATGGGACTGCGTCTCCTTACGATGCTCCACTGCCTTGTGGGTCAGACGTTCAGGTCAAAGACTCGGGGTGTGGCCTCCTAAGAAAACCACCTGCTTCGGTTTGGGCACCCGAGCAGTATCACAGCCTTACACAAATCAATTGAGAATTGTGTGGCGCATATGTATTTGGTGCCTCCCTGTACCTATACTTATGTGTTAAAATAAATAATAATAAGTTTAACAAAAAAACATTAATTGTTCTAATCAGGTAATTTATTCTGTTATTCTTCTAAATTTAATGCTGAAATCTCTTCAAATGTTAATTCTTCAACATTAGGTTAGAGTCTCCAAGTACTAACCGAACGGGACCTATTGGTGCAGAATTTATTCCATGTATTAAAAACCTTAACAAGTTAAGATCAGCAAATGGCCCTGACCAGGTTCAGGTTCTCTATCATCGACCGAAACGTATACATCGACCATCTTGTCGTTATTTTCATCGTACATTCTCCACTAAAGAAAACAAGCAAGAAAAACAGAAATCTGATGATACTGGTGATGACATAAGTTTGCCTTCTGGCTTTCTCGAATCGGAAACATCAGTTCATTTTCCACCAAAATCCATTATTAGCGGTAGTTTGTTTCGTTTTGAAGTTCAAATGCTATTAATTTAACGTTCACTGACTTAATAAATATCCAAATACTTCATTGTATTAATTATTTGTAACCAAATAATTAGTTAGTTTACCCATAAACCATACCCTAGTTGTTACTTGTGAATATCTCAACAGTGATTTCAATTTCATTAGCTTTACCTGGAACTAAATAGTTAAGGATCTTTCATAACGTGCTTTACTTATCGTAGGAAAATATCACTTGATTTCTTCCCTGAATCTAGCTTCGATTCATACACCAAGTAGACAGTATAAAGATGCATGTTCGCGACATGTCTTTCTGTAGCCTTACTCATGCATACTAAATACTATAAACAGTAATACAATAAAACAGCAAGACTTCCGAAGAAATTGTCAACAGTTATTTAACGACCATATTACAAAACATGTGAAACTAACTAGTTTAGGATTTTTCGCTTGTTATGCAAGGTAAGATTTGTCATCGACAGCATAAATTACCTTGCAGATTAACACTGAAAGCGTTAGTTGGGATAGCTTGTACATCGTAACTGTTCTCATCACAATCGTTATATGAGAAAGTTACCCATTTTTGTGTTGATGAAATTGACCTGATAAGTTTCCCGTGAATGTATTCCTCCACAAACGTCAGATTAAAAAATCACAATTGTTTGACTGGATACTTACGTAAAATGCAAATTCGGCAAACATAATTTAAAGAATAGTACAAATGTTCCTTATAGTTTGTGTTATTACTATTAAAATGTATAAATTTCTGATGTTCTATGTGTGTTCGAATAAATAAATTAATAATGAATTGATATTCGAGATATCGTTAACCAGAACAGATTTTCATCTAGTAAAACTACATGCTTACGTACAATTTAATCTAAAAATAATTATGATTATCATAAACTACTGAACCATACTAGTTTTTTAGGTCGTTCACTCGAGTGAATCAGTCATTTAGGTAAAATAACAACTCCAAGACTAGCAATCACTATTTCCTCCACAGATCGTGTCGAAAGTTAAAATTAAAGCAAATTCCATCACTATTAGGAATATGGTGATCGTATCTCATTTTACTCAATATCAAAACGATAAGATTTTCAGTGATCATACATTAATATGCATCTTAAGTAGTAAGCTAATTTTTCCTATGGTGAAGTTGCTTCGTAGGAACTTATAAATGTTTCCATATGTATATGGGAGTATGTCTTCTACTTCAGTTGAAAATAAGCAGTAAATTGCTTATGATTCCTACGGGTGAATAAGCTAAATAAACTCCATACTTTTGTAAGATGTTTGGTCCAGACTTTGTGATACCATTACTGAGACAAGATAAAACGCAGAAAGCCACGTTACAGTACTACACGCGTCTTACATACTGAGGGTTACAGGAATGCCAGAACTGCTAGATAACCACGTTTTAACATGAAAGTTACGAAACCCTGCAACGCGTATTTATGTTTTTATCCATACTTGCTTTTCGTCATCCTAGATGCATCAACAAAGCACAACCGTAATAAAGCAAAATCTCACTTCCCATCTATTGGTGGTTCACCCACCCGTGATGAGTCGAACTTCAAGTTTCCACTTCCTCCACAACGTACAACCTTGGTTGCAAAAAAACCTCTTTCTGTTGCAAATAGCGTTGGTGTAATGGTACGTTTCCGTGATTTTTTTTTTACCAAAAGCAATACTCTAGATAGTTTTTGAAGTTGTAGAAGGTGTTAGCCATTACTAAAGGTTCTAAGCTTAATTCCGGAAAGATTTGTGGCTACGTACTCCCGAGGAGTGATTTTTAAGGACGAGATAAATGTCAAGTGCTTCTTGATTTTTAGTTGTTTAGCTCAAGTTAGTCCACAATGTAAATTACTCTATTAGTCATTACTTTGATGTAACATTGAATGTATTGTTTGTGTATATTGTCTATTGGTCTGTGTGTTCAATGAAATTATCAGATAGTACATATGAGCATATTAATGCATTGACTCATATTTTTAGCAACTCAGAAAGAGTAATAAGTTATAAGCTAAAAATGTAGAAAGTTGTTATCAAACATATGGACAGGTAGACCAATACAGTTCATTACACCGTATTGTTCGCTCACTGTTTTAAATAATTGTAACTATACAGTAGCCTCGTCCTTCACGATTATGTCATTCAGAATAACAATGAAAGCTCCACGACCAAACCATCCAGCTCAGAGAACAAAATCACCCAGCTGAGCTACAAATCTTTGTTTATATTCTGTTTGTTTGAAGTCAATGAGTTCACTGTAAGCTTCCACTTTGACAGGTCTTCAAACCTTAGTGGATTGCCTTTAACGATTTTCGTGGATCAGTCAGTCAGTCAGCTGCAACGTAGGACCAGGCACGTATATGCATCGGTTCAAGTTGCCATACCGCATTAGCACAACAAGATGAACACCAGATTCATAGAAGTAGTTAATTCAGTGGTGGTAATATATAGAAGAAATATTGCATATAAGGAGATAGTACAGGAAGAAAGAATTAGTTGGTAGAAAGAAAAATATGAAGCGATTTTAATCTCTTAGTTTAAAGGAAGACAGAGTGTGTATACACCGACGCCATTGTGATCGATTCTGAGCCATGTCACCAAGAGTCTCCAACCATTGGTTACGATAGTCACGCGGACCCCAACCAAGTAGTCTGAATCTTCCAATATGGCTCAGACCAGAAGTTAGTGACTTTAAGCACTGATGCCACGTTTTGGTTTGGCCGCCCCTAACTTTCTTCCAATTATCCCCTGCACTAGTCAGCATTGCGCGTCGTGGTAATCGGTGTTCAGGCATACGCAGCAGTCAATGAAGATTCATAACCTCATCAACTGATTTACCATCATTCCCTAATACCCTGCGTCTAACCTCACTATTACTTACCCGGTGATCCCAGCAGATACCCGCAATATTTCTAAGGCACCTGTGGTCAAATACTAGTAACTTACGAATATCTTCTACTCTTAAAGGCCATGTTTCGCAGCCGTATAGTAGAACGGAACGAACTGCCGCGCAGTATACTCGTCCCTTAATTGATAGACGGATATCTCGCCTTCGCCATAGATGACGTAAGTTGGCAAAGGCCAAACAAGCTTTTCGAATCCGTGCTGAGATTTCGTCAGACACCAACCCGTTAGGGCTGATCAGACTTCCAAGATAAGTGAAGTTGTCAACGCGTTCGATTACTTCACCCCCCATCCTTAGTTCAGGTGTTGACGCAGACCAGTCCTGAAGCAAAAACTTGCATTTAGAGGGAGAGAAGCGCATCCCAAACATTCTAGCATTGTTGCTCAGTGCTACCAAAAGACTCTGCATTTCATCAGCGTCTTCACCAAACAGGACTATATCATCTGCGTATTCTAAGTCAATAAGTGGACCTCCTGGTAGGAGATCAATACCTGAGAATTCAGTCGATGAGAGCGTTATTTCCATCAGTAGATCTATGATGAAGTTAAACAAAAATGGAGAAAGTGGACAGCCTTGGCGGACGCCACTTGAGGTTTTGCCCTTAAATGCCCTGGTACGGCCGAGAGTGGGGAGAGTTCGCTCTCCCTCTCGAAATGCTCTCACATGGCCATGCGTATATAGCCTCTGCCAGGGAAGTCCTACTCACTGCCTTCTCGTGGCAGGGGTGTTGTTTACAAAAATGAGAGGACGGAAAGCGAATGTCTGGCGCTTTAACCGGACCCCAAACCAATGGTGCACATGGGCTCCAGTATCCTGAAGGAACAAATGGCGTATGAACCAATCGTTGGTCACCGGCTTCCATGGGACTGCGTCTCCTTACGATGCTCCACTGCCTTGTGGGTCAGATCTTCATGTCGAAGGCTCGGGATATGACCCCCTAAGAAAACCACCTGCTTCGGTTTGGGCACCCGAGCAGTATCACAGCCCTCACACAAATCAATTGAGAATTGTGTGGCGCATATGTATTTGGTGCCTCCCTGTACCTATACTTATGTGTTAAAATAATAATAATAATAACTTGAGGTTGCGAAAGCAGATGACAGTTCGCCATAAGTTCTGACTTGACTAGCAGTGTTCGAGTAAAGAGCCTTCACAAGGTTTATGTACTTCTGAGGTACGCCTTTCAATGACAGACACTGCCACTGAACCTCTCGGTCAACAGAGTCAAACGCTGCTTTTAAATCAAGGAAGACCACTATTGTCGGACGCCGATAAGTATGCCTGTGTTCTAGAACCTGACGAGTGGTGAATATGTGGTCGATGCAGCCACGACCAGGTCTGAAGCCAGCCTGATTTTCACGTGTTTGCAGCTCACGAGTCTTAGTTAGGCGTCCGAAAATTATCGAAGCTAGTATTTTAGATACTATATTAGTCAAACTATTCCCTCTATGGTTGTTACAGGATGATTTTGACTCTTTCTTAGATATTGGGACGATAAGTGATTGTGACCAGTTAGATGGGATAACGTCTAACTCCCAGACTTTAGCTAAAATATTAGTTAACGTAATCGCTAAAACTAGACCACCATCTTTAAAGACCTCTGGGGCTAATCCATCTGGACCAGATGCCCTTCCTCGTTTCAGATTAACTATAGCCTTTTGAACTTCAGTTAGAGATGGGGGACCTACTTCAATGTTCCATTCACACTGTCTGGGAATAGAGGGTAGTTGTAGAGTAGCTGAAGGCCAGCTAAACTGCTCCTTAAAGTGTTCCGCCCATCGTTCTAAGCGTCTGGACTGGGAGCAGATGAGTGTCGTTATTTTCCGAAATAGTCTGACTTACACTTGATTTATTAATTCCAGTTTCTTTTATTAGTCTGTAGAGTTGTCTTGTGTTCCCTATAGCCGCCATCTTTTCCATCTCTTTTGCTTTCGTTGCCCACCACTGCTCACGGTCGTTCCTTAGACTTTTGCTTAACCTAGATCTGATTTGTTTACGCTCTTCATCGTGTTCAGAACCTGATGAGATGAGTTTACGAGAATCTATCAGTGCAATAGACCTTGAAGAAGTCCATTGGTTCTTTGTAACCCTGTGGTTTAAATCACTAGTAGATGTCACTGCTGTTTCCACAGCTGCTTGTATGTCTTTCCAAGCAACATCGGGGTCAGCCTCGTTTTCAGAACTACCTAAGTGTGACCTCAGTTGTTCCTGGAACCTACTTTTGGTTTTCTCATTACTCAATTCGGTTCTAATGAGTCTTTTTTTGTGTGGCTTTTTTGCGTCCAGTGAGGCGCAAGCAGATGCGTGCTCGTATTAGGGCATGGTCGGAGTCCAAGCAGGTACTCCAGAATCAGCGACAATCTTCTATTGACCCTCTCCAACGATGACTGATGGCAATATGGTCTATTTGAGTCCATCGTTGGTTTGGTGCAGAGGGTCGCCATGTTAGACGATGTCTCTCCTTATGCTTAAAATTTGTGTTTGCTAAAAATAAACGATTGTCTGAGCAAAGTTGCAGCAGATGATCACCATTATCTGTTCACTGTGCCGGAATACTAAAATACCCACCTAAATGTCTTTCTGTTTCGTTTAAGCTACCTACCTGGGCATTAAAGTCGCCTCCTACAAGTACTATGTCTGAACGTTTAGCTTTCTGAAGAAGTTCAGACAGCTTTCTGTAAAATTCATCTTCCACTTCATCCGAACTGCAGTCAGTGGGAGCGTAGGCAGAAACGACGAAAAGGCAACGACGTGTGTCCTTATCCTTTCGAGTTCTTACGGACCCGTTTAGCCGAACAGCGCATAGACGACTATTAACGGGGATCCACTCTAATAGCGCTTGTTCCGCCCTCATACTTAGTGCTATACCTACACCTGCCAGTCCACGAGAACTAGCCATCGGGTCGCCAGATACACGGAGGGTGTATCTCGTCGGCACTCCGTTTTGCCGAGGTGAGGTCAAGTGAATGACCACGCTAGGATCCTGTATGCGTGTTTCGGAGACACAGCATACATCAATCGTACGAGATTCTAGGGTTTTAGCCAAGGAAGCCTGCTGACCGATTTGACATAGTGTGCGTACGTTGAAGGCTCCAATGTGTAGTTTGGAGCGAGGTTTCAGTAGAGCTTGGACAGTGTTTTGCGCACAAGAATCGTTGGCTGTGGTGACACTTGATGAGGAAGCCGAAAGAGGGAGTTTAGATTTGAAAGTCGATGTAAGAGGAATAATAGGAATTGAAGAGGTAGGTTGATTATGAATACAGTGGTATTGAGTGCTGTTAGAGGTATGAGGGCGGTTATCAATTCCCGGTTGCCCACATCGTGGAAGGGTTCTTCTGGAGGTGTCTAAAAAGGAAATTGGATTAGAGGTGGTCATAGTGACCTGAGAACGTGACCGCAGTACCCAAGGGACAGTTGCTTGAGGTCGGTCACACACGACATTTTTATGAGTAATTTTTGTGTTAGCTCCGTACTTGTTGAGACCTTACCGCCGGAGACGGATATCTGTGGGATAAGGCGAGGTGTGCATTTTTAGGGTCGACCTTTTCTAACCCCACCCCTCCTTTTGGGAAGGCAGCATCGCTGTCATGCTGGTTGTCTGAAGGAAACACCTTACTGCTGTCACACCTCTGTACAGTCAGCAGTACGACTTCGCCTTCGGACCTTGGTTTTGTTGCTTTTAGTCTTACCGCTCTTCAACCGACCTGTCTGGCATGGTAGGACCTTGAGGAACGGTTGTTCCAGCCAGTATAGCTCAGTTGCTTCATCACGATAGGCAAGCCGGACCACCACGTCAAGGTAGCAAAAACGGTCAGGATTTTCGTGGTTGGTTCATTGTTGTTTGTTAGGGACTTCGCAACATGAATTACGTACACTTCAAGCATATATTTTAAAATGGCTTTGTTAAGTAATTGTTCTTTTTTAAAGAATGCTTATCGCAGAGGTCATATTTCGAATCATATTTTAAAAACCCAGTTGTTCAAAACTGGTTTATACTATAAACATATTAAAGCGATATCATCCTTATCGAATATTTATTTCAACACATTTTAACAAAATTAAACATAATATAATCATTCCTGTAGGCAAATGTAGTTGATATATCTTTATTACCGATATATAATGAAATTTTGTGGAACGTGGCTAGGATGATTACATAGAAAAGCTTTTTTAATTAGTGGTCATCCATATTTTCCTGTTTTTCTCATGCTTATCAACTTACTCCAATATGCATGAGTTCATAGTTGAAAAAGGGGGTGTAAATATTTTCAAATCTCCTTATACACAATTGTACCTGCTAAGTTTTTTTATATCATTGCCCTGATGACTAGAATGGCGTGAAGCTAAAATGAATAATCATATCTGTAGACCTATACGGTGTAGTGTTCTTACAGCCTATGCTTTAAGGTAAGGTTTACATAAGATAGACCGTGGTTAAGGTGAACAAAAATTTGAAAATTCCTATTCATTTTAACTAGTACTATTTTACTGTTTCACGCGGTTTATTCAGATCATTTATTTCATGTATGTTCTTCCTATTGTAACTAAAATCTCATAACCCCCAAATGCCCTGATTCGGCCGAGAGTGGGGGGAGTCCACTCCCTCTCGAAATGCTCTCACATGGCCATGCGTATATAGCCTCTGCCAGGGAAGTCCTACTCACTGCCTTCTCGTGGCAGGGGTGTTGTTTACAAAAATGAGAGGACGGAAAGCGAATGTCTGGCGCTTTAACCGGACCCCAAACCAATGGTGCACATGGGCTCCAGTATCCTGAAGGAACAAATGGCGTATGAACCAATCGTTGGTCACCGGCTTCCATGGGACTGCGTCTCCTTACGATGCTCCACTGCCTTGTGGGTCAGATCTTCATGTCGAAGGTTCGGGATATGACCCCCTAAGAAAACCACCTGCTTCGGTTTGGGCACCCGAGCAGTATCACAGCCCTCACACAAATCAATTGAGAATTGTGTGGCGCATATGTATTTGGTGCCTTCTTGTACCAATATCTATGTGTTAAAATAAATAATAATAATTCCTGTTGTAAAAATACGAGATATTAAGTTCATAAACCAACTTTTTCAAGATTGTCAGTGGTTCATTCCACCTGGAAATTAATAGTGATTCAGATCAGTTTATCAAGTCTATACGCAACTTTGACACTTTATGTATTACTTTAACGCGTAGCTAAGATTATATCAATTCCAAAGACTGATTCAAATGATTCATCTTATAATACGAGACTATAGATGTAACCTTTCTGTTGAAAATGTAAATGTGGGATTTCTGTAAATAAATTTTGCCTTTCTCAATATAAAATAACTGTCATGATAAGTGTAAAACCTTTATCCATTGAGTTATGTTTTCTTTTAAAACAAGTAGGGTCTTAATCAGACTGATACGAACGATGCATCTGAAAAGTCTGATATGGATCAAGAAAATGGTGATGAGCATATCGTTTACCCATGTGACCATTGTGATCAAGTCTTTAAATATAAAGTTGCTCTTTGGCGTCACAAAAGATGTACTCATCGTACTGAGGTTAGATACGTTTTTTCCCATACTCGTTTTAAATTGAGAAATTCATCCTTTTACGTAGGGCAGTCAACTTATTCAATATTTTTGAATGGTAATTAAGTTATTACTAAATCATAAATAATATATAAACTATATATAATCTCTTTTTTTGCAACATAAATTGGTGATTACTTCGGCTTGAATTAATGTTGACTAACATTTTCAAGAACAACAACAATGGATATCTCAAACCATTCTGGATATTCGATTGCTTAGATGGATCCAAAAGCCAATAGTTTGTAATAATTCATTAAGAGAAATCGATAAACACTTATCTTCCAAATATTTTTAAGTTTTAGACATTACCTTGAATTGTTCAGTCGATCTTAATTTAGCTTTTTGTATCGTGCATGAAATTGTCACTTGTTTCAGACACTGAATTCTAAACTATTCAATTGATGTAACTTAAAAATTAGTAACTTTATTTATCGTTGCTAAATTTGTCCATTACTTAATTACTCCTGTTACTCCCAATGAACCATAGGCCGCCGACCAGCATTCTCCAACCCACTCTGTCCTGGGCCTTCTTTTCTAGTTCCATCCAATTCTTGTTCATTTTTCTCATATCTGTCTCCATTTCTCAGCGTAATGTGTTCTTTGGTCTTCCTCTTTTCCTTCGACCTTGAGGATTCCATATGAGGGCTTGCCTCGTGACGCAGTTGGGTACTTTCCTCAACGTGTGTCCCATTCACTTCCAGCTTTTCTTCCTGATTTCTTCCTCCATTGGGATCTGGTTTGTTCCCTACCATAGTAGGTTGTTGCTGATAGTGTCTGACCAACGGACCCGAAGTATTTTGCGTAGACAACTGTTATTAAACACCTGTATCTTCTGGATGATTGCTTTCGTAGTTTTCCAAGTTTCGGCTTCATACAGTAGAACTGTGTTGAAGTTTGTATTGAAAATTCTGACTTTGCTGTTGGTTGCCAATTGTTTTGAGTTCCAGATGTTCTTCAGTTATAAATATGCTGCTCTTGCTTTGCCAATCCGTGCCTTCACATCTGCATCAGATCCACCGTGTTCATCGATGATGCTGCCCAAATATGTAAAGGTTTTTACATCTTCCAAATCTTGTCCGTCAATTGTGATTGGCTTGGTACATGCTGTGTTGTATCGAAGAATCTTGCTTTTCCCTTTGTGTATATTGAGACCTACTGCTGCTGAGGCTGCTGCTACACTGGTCGTCTTCTCCTGCATTTGTTGTTGCGTTTGCGATAGAAGAGCCAGATCATCTGCGAAGTCTAGATCTTCCAGCCGCATTCTAGCTGTCCACTGTATCTTATGCTTTCCCTCAGATTTTGACGTCTTCATGATCCAGTCGGTCACCAGGAGAAAGAGAAAGGGTGAGAGTAAGCAAGCTTGCCTGACACCGGTATTTACCTCGAACGAGTCTGTCAATTGCCTATTATGCACGATTTTGCAGTTTAATCTATCAAAGGATTTTCGTTTGATATTGACTATCTTCTCAGGTACTCCGTAGTGTTGTCCTGTTCACGCTATCAAATGCTTTCTCATAGTCAATGAGGTTGATGTAGAGTGATGAATTCCATTCAATTGATATTTCCACAATGATTCGTAGTGTTGCGATTTGGTCTGTACACGATCGATCTTTATGGAATCTAGCCTGTTGATCTCGAAGTTGGGTGTCTACAGTGTCATTTATTCTGTTTAACACTACTTTGTTGAAGACTTTTCCTCGTATTGAGAGGAGAGTGATGCCCCTGTAGTTATCACAGTTGCTGAGATCGCCTTTCTTTGGTATTTTGACCAGAAGTCCCTTTTTCCAGTCTTTTGGCACCTGTTCTTCATCCCAAATCTTATAGAAGAGAATGTGGAGTATCCTTGCAGTTATTGTTAAATCTGCTTTCAGTGCCTCTGCTGGAATGTTGTCTGGTGCTTCTTGAGTTTGTGTGGGAATATAGTGCTCTCTATGAACAGTTTATTGAAGGCACATAGGTTTGCAAATCTCTCAGCATTTTCGTTCCTTTCTCCCAGTCCCTGTCCCATGATGTTTTCGTATACGATGTTGTCCATTCCAACCTTGGCATTTAGGTTTCCCATCAGAATGATCAAGCCCTTTATTGGGCACTTCTCGACGATTGACTGCAGCCTATCGTAGGATTGGTTTTTAACTTCTTTATTGTAGTCGTTGGTAGGCGCATAGCATTGGATGACGTTCATTGAAATACCCTCTTTCTTTGTTTTGAAGGAGGCTTTGATGATCCTTGGTTCATGAAATTCCCATTCTATAAGTGCATTTTGTCCTTGTTTTGATAGCATCAATGCAACTCCTTGTGTATGTGGGGCATTTTGTTCTTCGTGGCCAGAGTCTAACAACAGCTCCCCTGAAACTATTCGTTGTTGTCCAGCTTGCGTCCAATGTGTTTCACTGATCCCAAGCACCTCCAGTTTGTATCTCCTCATTTCTACAGCAATTCGGAAGACTCTCCTGGTCTCTCACTTTGTACGAGCACTCCATGTACCTAAATAAATGGTTGCTCTGGTTGTCATAACGGGCCTCGGCTTTGTGGCTTCCAAAGAAACTCGGCTTTCACCATGAGGCATCATAACTCTTCTAAATGAAGACCTTCTGACTCCCAGGGCAGAGTTTAAATGGTTTGAATAATTGTTTCTGGTTAGCGTTTTTTAGCAAGTTATTTTTCTACGGGATGGGGTCGCTAACCCCATGCCCAACCCTCTATCCGGTCTCGGGACCGACAGTAGTCTCATAGGAGCTCCAGGCGGAGTTAAGTTTGTCCAATAATTAATACTTAGATTGATCCTCTAATCGATCGAAAAAATATAAAGTGGGCATTACGATATTGCTTGTTGTTTGTATAGAAAAATCATTGTGGACAGAAGTAAATTATCATATATATGTCTAGGAACAATATCGAATTACTGCATTCCTTTTTTATGGGGTCACTGCTTTGTAGAAAATTACTATAATTGGCAATGATCGTTAGAGAATGTTACTATTCTCAGTGTAGGTTCAATAATAGTTGGTGTAACATTCATAAATGGCTCGTGTTTATGTTTCGTTAAACCGATGGATTAACTTGATACTTTCACAAAGTATTTATTTTGTATAGAAGAAAGTGATGTCAATTCATTTCTGTTTTCTACATGCTTACCAACCTAATCATTTTTTTACTTAAAGTACCACTGAACGATTATATTGTTAGCATTATCACCGTTGTCTGACATATAGATGTTAGTCTACATGTGTGTTTATTTATTTATTTAAACACAAATATTGGTACAAAGGGGCAACGAATACATATGCACCACACAAGTCACTTGATTTGCGTGTGAGCTGTGATACTGCCCGGGTGCCCAAACCGAAGCAGGTGATTGTCATCACAATAACCAATAAAATGATCTTGTAAGTGTTATCTTGAACTACTGTTTTTTCTTCAGTCACGTAAGTACGAGTTCTTGTAGATGGATAGTAATTGTCCTGCAATAGCATATAAAAATGACATTGCAGCTATCATAATAGTTTTTCGCACATAAAATAGTTATATAGTTATATTTATTTCACTAAAAAATTCCACTCGTCTTTAAGACCGTCGCCTCATTCAAGATAGATATATTCATTTCAAACTCTATATAGATCTGTAACTTAACAGTTTAATCACGCGCAAATGTTAATCGTATCGTCGTAGGTTAGAAATCACCACCAATTTTCAGTTCCCTTTGTTGAATAGCATATTTGTGGCTACAACAATAAATGTAAGTCAATACATCACGAACGTGTATCTAATTACTCAAGTTCTGTTATTAATTTGATTAATTTCTTCATCTGAAATTGATCTCAATTCGATTTGGTTCAAATTAATTTCGAATAGCGTTTACCTTTTGGACTAATTTTTCTACTTGATAGACTATCTAATTTAACATGTTTTCTCTACCACCATCTCATAACTTGTTCATTATAAATAATTTTCTGCAGTCTTCCAAAAAATCTCATAGAAAATCAGTCAATCAAACATCACCATCAACACCAGATGGTTTTTGGAATATTGACCTAGAACAACATGACAAGGAAAAGGAGAATATTCCGGTTACAAATACGACTGATACTGAAGTGAATGTCCGACACTCTTCCCGCCGCCGTCGACCTTTAAGTTTTCCCTCAGTTGAAATATCTGCCACACCAATCTAATAAGATTTATATGTAATTGTTTCCCACTTATTTTTATCGACTTTTTATCATTTGATTAACAAACCCGATAATCGTATATTCGTAACTTGTTTTTTACACATTTCTACAAAATAAATTATCTACATTTTTATTTTTGTTACTTGTTATTCTGGTGATTTTCATTAATTATCAACTCATTGTTCAATCTTTTGTATTTAAGTTTATGCTTTTATTCACGTATTAGCGTCTTATTCAATCCTGAGCTATCCTGTTCAATAATGAAATACCTCCATTTTTAAAAATCTTAAACATCTCCCGATAAAATATTGTTTGAGGAACTCTAAGTGAACCCACCAAACAACTGGATCTGAACGTTCATAACTGTCCTATTGGTATTATTATCCTCAATGATCCAAATTGTTTTAACTAGATGAAAATTTTTATTTGTATAATCAGACAGACATCCAGGCAATACAGTGACTGAATGAACTAAGAATATTCATTAAGTGATATGTATTGGAATCACATCAAATGTCTCGCAATTAGGTCAGTGAACTAATCCTTTGAGATAAATCAAAGTATATTCAAAGACAAATGTACACTGAGAGAAGTTTAGAATTATCCACGTACTTACTCCTTTTACCTCCCATAAAACATAGACCACTGGCCAGGATTCTCCAACTAACTCTGTTCTAGGTTCTCCTTCCCAGTTGTTTCCAAGTACGATTCATTCACTTTATGTCTGCTTTCGATTCTTTGGTCTGCGTCGTTTACTCTTGCCTTCAAGATCCCCAGTTAGGGCTTGTCTCATAATACAATTCGATTTCCGCAGTATATGTCCTATCACCCTCGAGCATCTTCTCCTGATTGGTCATTCTGTTTTCTTCGATCGTTGGTAAAGTAACATGTATGGTAAGATCTGTAGGTGCTGCTTCAATGTCCGATGGAGTTTGGCCATCCTAGAGATCTTCAAAGCGTTCTATTAACCTGTTCCTCTGTTTTTGAATCTCAGTGATTGGTTTGACTTTGTCCTTGACTGGTCGCCCCAGTTTACCGTATTTCCCTGCTAGTTTCTTTGTTGTTTCATATTTCCTTCGTTTTTTTAACTTTTCCTCTGTCATTGTTAGGTTTTAGACGTATTTCTACTTACGGGCTCTAATGCTTCTCTTCATTCACTTGTTTTATTCTGTGTATTTGGTTTGCACCTTGACATTCACCACTCTTGTTTGACTGTTGTTAATTTCTGTCTTGTTCTTCCTTTCTTGAATTCTGCCCAGGGTTTCAATAGAGATTCATTCTGTATGACTGTGTTTCATGCGACCCAGCCTAATCTGACCTATTGAAATTAATGTTTTATTCATGCGTTTCCATTTGTTCTCCATAATAATTCTTTCTTTGAGTAGATCTTGTAGAGCTCGAAACTTATTACTGTGAGCGATCTTGAATTATTTAAGTTTGTCAGTATCTCGAAATCTGTGTTCAACGTTTGTTATACTATTTACCAAGTTATCCAATTCTTTAACTGAGCGTTCAGCTTGTGCATCATGTAGTGATCTTAAGCAATATCATTTCTGTTATCCCATAGTGTCTATGCCTTTCATGAACCTTATGGTTTTTTATTGATGCAAATACGACTGATCCATTTCTTTGTAGCGTGAGACCTATGTAGCTTTATGTATGCTTCTGTGGGAAAATATCGTGCCACTGATAGACATTTTGTTGACGGCACATGAATTCGACAATCTCGCCATTCTCGTCCCTTTCTCCCAGTCCATGTTGTTTCACGATATCCTCATCGATGTTGTCAATTCCGAATTTGGAGTTTAGGTCTACTACTAGGATGGTCAGGTCATTTCTCAGGCACTTCTCTACGATCGACTGCAGCTTCGTAAGACTGATCTTTATCGTTTTCGTTGCTATCATTGGTAGGCGCATAACACTTGATAACATTCATTCTGATTCTCTCATTTGTTTTGAATGCTTTGATGATTCTGGATCCGTAAGATTCCCACCCTGTGAATGCATTCCGTGCTAATTTTGGATATAATCAGTGCAACTCGTTTGTGTGAATCACTTTCTTCATACTCAGAGTACAACAATACCCCCCAAATCTAACCTTTTCTGTCCAGCTTGGGTCCAATCAGTTCAACTTATTCCAAGCACCGAGTATCTCATTTCTGCAGAAATTTATTCCTTCCAGTCTCTCGCATTCTCCGGTTATTATGTGTACTTATCTCCCGACCGTAGCTGCTACCTTGACGTGGTGGTCGGGCTTGCCTATCGTGATGACCCAACCGAGCTATATTGGCTGGAACACATGTTCCTGCAGGTTCTACCATGTCAGGCAGGTCGATTGGAGAACGGTAAGACTAAAAGCACCAACTCAAGGTCTGAGGGCGAAGTCGTACTGCTGACTGTAGAGGGATGTGAGAGCAGTAAGGTGTTTCCCTCGGACAACCAGCATCTGCAGCGATGCTGCCTTCTCACAAGGAAGGAAGCGTTAGAAAATGTTGACCTTAAAAATGTCACACCTCACCTTACCTCACGTATTTCCGTCTCCAGCGGTAAGGCCTTTACGTTGAATAAGTTGGACCATTAAAATTTTTTAAAGGTTCACAAATCGAATACTTTACCTTCAAGTCTACTCTCGTCACATATGACTTTGGTGGATGTTACTGACCAAAATTTACGTAGTCCATTAATCAATTCAACATTGCATAGTCAATCTAGAGAAACAGATTACTGCGAGCATTGTGTAGATAGCGCGACTGGACTTGCAGTTTCACTAGTCAATGCGTGTATACAAAAAACTGCTCAAAACGAAAAACAAGAAATGATTTTGTTTAAATTTTTAAAATTACAAGAACTACTTCTCAAGACTAGTGATATTAACTGGGTTCGTTTAAATCAGCAGTTTATTGAATCTCCGAGACCAACGAGGTTTAATTATGATACTAAATTTCAAAACTTTCCCGAAAATAATCGGCTATCAAGTACATCTAGTAATTCAATACAACTCAATTCTCAGGGGTAAGTGTTTGTTTTCCCATATTGCATTTTGCGAAACTTAGCGACCTCTGGGTGTGTTCATTTAGCTAATATTCTAGATTGTGACCCAAAGTTGTCCTTATGTATGTGCTAAGATGGATCTGGAATAAAACTTACTAAATTAATACTATAATACACCATGCCAAATTAGAATGTACCCACAAATTAACGTGATTCGGTTTCTAAATTTTATGCATCGCTATGGCCTTCAGCCACACTTCGGTTTCCCACGATCTCCAATCTACCTGAATGGCAAGTTGATGTAAGTCCTCCGACTCTTTACGAAGTTGAAAAAGCTATAGGAAATCTGAAGCGTGGGAGAGCAGCAGGCTCTGACAGGTTTACCCCTGAGATTTTTAAGGATGGCGGTCCAGTATTAGCAGCGAGATTGACTGAGGTCTTAGGTAGAATTCGGGAACTGGACATAATCTCATCTGACTGGTCTCAATCACTGATTGTGCCAGTCTATAGGAAAGGACAAAAGTCTTGTGACAATCACAGAGGAATTAGTTTGACTAATATAGTGTCTAAAATATTAGCTTCAATAATACTTCAACGCCTAACCAAAGCTCGTGAAGAGCAGACCAGAGAAAACCAGGCTGGTTTTCGACCTGGACGTGGTTGTAAAGACCAGATATTCACACTACGTCAGGTCCTAGAACGTGGACACACATTCAGACGCCCCACAATGGTAGTATTTCTCGACCTTAAGGCGGCATTTGACTCTGTTGATCGTGAGGTTCTATGGAAGTGTTTGTCACTGAAAGGAGTACCAAAGAAGTAAATTAACCTTATAAAGGCTTTCTACTCGAACACAACTGGTCGAGTGAGAGCTTATGGCGAACTGTCATCAGAATTGATTACCTCAAGTGTTGTTCGTCAGGGCTGTCCACTCTCTCCATTCTTGTTTAACTTTGCCGTTGACGTCTTTTTAGAAATGACACTTTCCTCATCTAAATTTCCAGGGGTTGAACTTCTACCGGAAGATCCACTTGTTGACTTAGAGTATGCCGATGACATAATTCTATTTGGTGAAGACGCTGACAAAATGCAGTCTGTTGACTACTCTAAGCAACCATGCAGGTATGTTCGGGATGCGATTCTCGCTCTCAAAATGCAAAATGTTGCTTCAGGATTGAGTTGCATCGACACCCGAACTAGTGATAAGAAGTGAAGTAGTCGAGTGTGTCGACCGCTTCACTTATCTTGGAAGTCTCATCAACCCTTGTGGTCTGGTGTGTGACGAAATCTCAGCACGGATACAGAAGGCTCGATTAGTTTTTGCCAACTTGCGTCATTTGTGGCGTAGGCGAGATATCCATCTATCAACCAAAGGACGGGTTTACTTCGCAGCAGTCCGTTCCGTCCTACTTTATGGCAGTGAAACATGACCGGTAAGAGTAGAGAATATTCGTGGGTTACTAGTATTTGATCATAGATGTCTTCGAAACATCGCTCGTATATCCTGGGACCACCGAGTAAGTAATGCAGTTGTTAGGAAACAGGTACTAGGTAAGGATGGCAAATCAATTGATGAAGTAGTGAAACTCAATCAGTTGAGATGGCTGGGACATGTGTTACGTATGCCTGACCACCAACTGCCCCGACGTGCGATGTTTTATGGTGTAGGAGTTGGTTGGAAGAAGGCTAGGGGCGACCAGACCAAAACATGGCACAAATCCATGAAGTCACTGACAAATGGACTGAGCCATGTTGGTAGATGTAGACTACCTGGTTGGGGATCGCGAGACGATAGCAACCGATGGTTGGAGACCTTGAATGACATGGCTGAAAATCGTTTGCAATGGCGCAGGTGCATCCACTCCTTGTGTTCTCCCAAATTCTAATCTTCTGAATTCTTCATGTCCTTTATTTTCTTTCCCAATGTATTCCACTGGACTATACTCCTTTAATAACATCATCAAACCTTAATGTCCCCTATATCTACTTATATTTTCAGTACCTCTACCACTATGGGATTTGAATCGATAACTGAATCTCTGTGCTAATGTGGTATGGCAACTCGAACTGATGTACGTACGTACGAAGTTCCACGTTGTTACTGACTGACTGACTGATGTGTACTTATCTTAATTGTTGCTCTCGTTGTTAGAGGGGGCATCAGCCTCGCGACTTCCGAATAATATCGGCTTTCACCATGAAGCATCATAATTCTTTTGAATAAAGATCCGTTAACTCCCAAGGCAGTGTATGAATAGTTTGGTTGGTTCTCTCCTGGTTAGTATTTTTAGCAAGGGTGCTCCCTATAGGTTAAGGTCGCTGACCCCACACCCGACCGTACTTTACCCGGGACTGGGACCAGCAGTAACCCTGAAAGGGCTACAAGCAGGGTATAAATTAGCTATTGAGTACAAATAACTAGGATGGGACTGAAACCTCTTCAACAGTCACATAATTGTTTGCTATGCTAAACAGGTGATTATAAGTTTGTTTAAGTTGTTATATACTGAAATTTCTTTTCATCTGGAAACTAAAACTGCGAGTATTTACACGTTTTAGTATAGTTGAACTTTATGGGAAGTGTTCAATGAAATCAACGGGTTATGGGTTGTGATTACAGCTTATTCTTCGGAACTTAGATTTGTCTGATTTGACAGGAGTATGGTTTCGTGAAAAAGTAATGTATTACTACAAATGTGGTTGCTAGTAGTTTTCTTCAAATGCTATTTGGAAATATTCAATACGGTAGCGTTAAGGTTCATCAGTGTCATACATATCTGTTCCTTCAGTTAGTTGTTTTTTTTTTACTTGATCTTAATGAAATTGCTATCTTCCTTAAATAATACGTTTCCCCAACTCTTCTAAACCACCTTTCGCCAGCCAACGTAAAAGTCTGAGATCAACTACGAAAGTCTAAATTATTAATGGTACAATATAAGATTCTGAAGAGTTGCTCTATATCACTCAGTTTGCATAGGTTGGTGGAACCAGCAGACATACATAGCCTACTGTTCAAAGCGTCAGGGGGTACACATTTTAATATGGCAGATGGACATGGTCTGTATTGTTCAAGCGCCCGGTTGAGTGTCTTGGCGTCTACAAAATAAGTTATAATACGAGTATACCAAAATATAGGTTCACAATAACGGCAATACTCAGGGGATTTGTAGTGTTTCTGTGGTATAGTATACTTTCTGGTTTTAGTTTATAAAACTAAAACGGACGTAAATTTTCTATATATGCTTGTGCTAAAAATGTGCAACAAAGGCACAATAAATGTTACCTAGTTTCTGTCAGTCGTAAATTTGTTTTGTATTTACGTTTTCCTGCAACAAAACAATGTTTATAAACCGATAATGCATTTAACACACATGTTTGCCGAAAACTACGGTTACTGATGTGAAATATTTAGGATTTGTGAATGGTTAGTTTTGGTAGGTTCCGTTCATTTGAAGAGTTACATATACATTGCCTGAATACTATAACATATTAAATCTGAGATATGTTATTCGATGTCATTTCCTAAATTCACGAATCAGGGTTCTGGCTCCGCATATACTATTTGATCTGTAACCTAGCGTCTTTAGTCATAACTAGTGCTGTATTCTGACCGAAAAATTAACCTTGAGATAATGCAAGCTTCGCTCCTATTGATATGCAGATCCGCTCACTTTTCCTATTCTCAACCAGTACGAAAAGATGAAATTGCAGCTAAGCTTCTGTCCTCGTTTGTTCCATGCAAACATGGGTTTACATTACGGAGATGCCGAAATAAATAACACCATAAAATAGGAAAACATAGTTATAAATCAACGTGAGAAGTGGCAGCTAAACTAGGCAAGCTGATAAACAATCAACTAGAAATAATCAGACGTAGTGTAATAGTTAATAAATCAAGATGGCAAATCAATTGATGAAGTAGTAAAACTTAATCAGTTGAGATGGCTGGGACCTGTGTTGCGCATGCCCGACGCGCGATGTTTTATGGTGTAGGAGTAGGTTGGAAGAAAGGTAGCGGTGGCCAGACCAAAACATGGCACAAATCCATGAAGTCACTGACAAATGGACTGAGCCATGTTGGTAGATGTAGACTACCTGGTTGGGGATCGCGAGACGATAGCAACCGATGGTTAGAGACCTTGAATGACATGGCTGAAAATCGTTTGCAATGGTGCAGGTGCATCCACTCCTTGTGTTCTCCCAAATTCTAATCTTCTGAATTCTTCATGTCCTTTATTTTCTTTCCCAATGTATTCCACTGGACTATACTCCTTTAATAACATCATCAAACCCTAATGTTCCCTATCACTACCTCTTCCACTACGGGATTTGAATCGATAACTGAATCTCTGTGCTGATGTGGTATGGCAACTGGAACTAACGTACATACGTACGAAGTTCCACGTTGTGACTGACTAATGAATCAAGAAGGAACAATAAACGTAATAAAGAAACATGGTAGTGGATTTACTTAGTAATTATGGAATAAAAGTATGAATAATGAATAGCCCATTATTTTTTTGAGAGTTACCGCTTGTTCAGCATTTGCTTTAACATTGTCACAGACTATACTTCAGTTCTTATAATCTCCCTCCAATTAATAATAAAAAATCTAACCTCCAGGAGCTTGTTTCATTTTCAGTAAAGAAAACCTGTTAAGGTGATGAGGCTAATACGATCTCACAATTTACTTCGCATTTTTGGCGGGTTAGTACATTTTTAATCAAACCGTATTTGATGACCTCTCGGTGAAAACGAGCGTAACCGAAGGGCAAGTGATGGTGCGTTTACTGAGGATATTCATAGTTTGAGGACGATTTATCCTCATAGGTGTCTCTTTTAATCTGGAGCATCCTGCCACAATTAAATATTTCTATAATCGATTTCCACAAAGTTGCATTACGGAATATACCATCTTATTATTGTGATGCGCAATTTCATGCAGACTAATGCTTATTTCAATTCTGCATTTCCTGAATATGATAAATGGTATTCTGAAGTTGGGAAGCAAACTCAGCTGGACTATTGCATATGAACTACTTAATTATACCGAAGTTATGTTTATCAAGAATTTTCTTCATATTTCGAAAACTACCGAAAATAACATGAAGAGGTTAGTTGGTAGAGTTTATATGGATGTGAAAATACAGCATGGTGTGCTACACTTATCTCTACCTGATTTCCAATAACTCAAGGTCTTTGGATTTAGTGGAACTGTGGTGTGTGCTACTGATATCTACCGATATAAGTACTATATATCATCAACCAAAAGTGAAATACCTGGTGGCAGAAGATCAATGAAAAGAGAATGAGAACAGAATGATTGGTGTGGAAACGAAGAGATAACGAAGTCTGAGACGGTTGACTGATATTTTGTAAGTGAAGTATTTACTGTATGGTTCTCACATTTTACTAAGACGTTCTGTAATTTTGTGTTTAATTAGATTCGATTGTCCTCACTTGTGTTCTCGTTCACTACAGAACAACTAGGCGGAAAGTTCATCCTTAAGTGTGATGATTGTAAACTGATTACTCTTTATTTGTAAGATAACCGAGTTATAATCTCAACTGACCAATTTTGTATTGTTTCTGAAGCTTCCAATTAACCTCAAATAAACCTGTCCGATCAATCATTAGTGAATGGGATATGAAAGACAGACTACTTATTCAGATTACTGACGGCGATAAGAAATTAGATGTTACTGAGTTGTGATCAAATGAACGATTGAAGTGAATGATTTAGGATAGGTCTTTATGAACAGGATTTTTTTTATTCAATTACAACATCAGTCGATTCATGATCTCAATCAAAAACCTAATAATCTCCACAACCCCAATAATGTCAATTACAACTGATAGGATTGTTCAAATAATACAGTTCATTTATGTCTGTATTCATTAGAAATGGAGTCCAAGTAAAATACAATAACAATAAGGTAATACAATGAAATGCTAACCGCCTACCCAATCACGATTAAATCAGTTTGACTATATATCAACTCGTTAATGGAGTACTTCGAGATTATTCAAATAATAACCTTTAATTCACTTCTATAAAACAATAATAAGTTAACACTTACTTTGTTTATAATGCCTACTGAACTTCTAGCGGTTGTGAGTGTAATTGTGAACTTAATAATCCTTCTAATGGACTTCTTTGATATATCAAGAATTCATCTGATCTATTTCAACATAGTTTATTGGGTATGCACTGTACCTTGATATTTCAAATTGTGTAATGTTGTGTACAAGATATGTTCGTATCGATTCTTTGATAGATAAGCACCTAAGTGTAATTCACTCGATGAGAATTACATTATATATACATGATTAAAAGTATCTGGATTTCAAACCTAATTATGGTGGCTTCGAACCATCCTATGCGAATAAAATGAGTTCTTAAAGTATATAAGTGTAAAACGTATTGTTGGAACAGTTGACATATTAGTTCATAAATTCAAACAAAATGATGAGTTGTAAAATTTGCTAGTTCTATGTTTGTTCATGAAACTAATGGTCATAGATTTTTCTGTCGAATTATGGAGTAATAACAGAGAATAAACTCCTTAGTATCTATTCTTTTGTTCACTTATTTCTGTCGTATATATGCTATCTTTCATATAAATTTGAATATCTAACATTAACGTTGTAAATGTATCTTTGTTTATTAACACTGAATAATTATTTACTTCTGAGTTATTCATACATCATCATTTGGTCTTACATAGTTTAAAATACATTGCATCACTAACTTTTCCGCTCTGATTACTACGAGGACATTTCGAACTAATGTTTCTAAGAGGTCAAATTCTTGTCAAAAGCTAGTAATGTTTTGCCAGATTGTACACTGAAACCTTCGAAATACCAGAAATCAATCAAAGGTAAATCTAATCACTGATGACCACCAACTCATTAGATCAATATCCCTTATTTCAGTGAAATTTGTCACACCTTCATATAAGTTTGTATTATTCACATTATGACTAGTTGTTTTCAGTTCATTTAGATTAAACTAGGTGGAGACGAAAAAATTTGTGATCTGAATACTTTTCGTATAATGATGATTCTGGCTTTTTTGTCTTAAGTGCAAAACTCCGTAGATTGACTTCTGCTCAATAACTGAGCATTCCGAGTGATGTACTGAGACTAATATCGGATCATTTTTTTGTATTTTCGATGATTTTTACTATGAGGAAAGTTATGTATGAAGGTTTACTTGTCAGTATGTAACTTGTGTGTAACACGATTTCAAGAAAAAAAATTCTTCATCATTAAAATACAAATATGAAAATTATTATGGTCCAGAAAACTGTAAAAATAGTATAATAGTTATGTTGTACACATCAAGAATACGTAATAACAGAGCAAAAATATCGGAACTAGTAAAGATGAACGGATTGTTTATTGATTTATTACCATTCAGTGTTCAATGTATTGACATACACTCTTAAGGAGTAAAATACTAAAATCTTGTAATTATATGAAATGCGGCTAAAAATGAATAATGATAATATCTAACTTCTTTTTTTATTTTAATTACTGATACAATATAACATAAAAACTATTTGATTGGAAGAACCCAAAGATTGAATATGAATTAGGAATAATATAAACAATAGCTAATATATCCAAGTAATGCACAGTATCATAAAAGTAATAAAGCATAAAAAAACCTTCCACAGAAAAATAACTACGAAAATAACCATAATTCCTTTAAAAGTGTAGTATTATTTACTTTTGTGTAAAAAAAGAAACTGAATCTTTTTTCTTTTCTATAATAAAACTAACCCGGTTAGCAAAGAAATTACTGTTTATTATTAGTATTACAATTATTAATACTTCTGAATACCAGCAACGGTAACAAATAGAACAACGATTATGATGGAATGAAATTAGGCGAAAACAGTTGGAGATTTTCTTGATTCTTGGAGGTGAATTCTCTGGGTTGTAAATTATCATTTGACTCTTCAAGTTTATTAGTTGAACGTGTTTCTTCTAATTTATCAATAAAGAACTGATTTGATTTGGCTCTTTTTATAGCAGTAATTGTATCTAGACAAGCTTGAATAGCTCGACAATTTTGAATTACTTCAGGTGGATCAGCATCTGCATCAAGCTTAGCGGTTAACTGCTGTACTGTATTAAGTATTTTCATGAGAATACCATCTTGGATTTGATTATATAGAAATTGGTCATCGTCTGATGACTGAATAGTAATTTCAGATTGACTTTGAATTAATTCACGTGCGCTACTATTGCTACTGCTATCATAAGTATTAGTAGTATTTGTAGTCCTTGAATTTGAACTAAATGTATTGTAACTGGAAAATTTATTGTTTATACCTAAATTTTCAAAATAAACACAAAGCAACGTAAAAGAATCATTTTTATTTTGATAAATAGTAAGAAATACCATCAATACTTCGCTTATTTGTAGGAAGTTGAAGTGAACATCGAATAAAAATTGAATCAGAGTACCCATTGGGGATGATAAACAAAGTTAGGGGAAAACTAATGTAACTGTTTAATTTAAACTGAGTACTTTAAGTCACTGTTGTGTTTCGCGTTCGTGCATTCAGATCCAAATACACGTGCGGTGTATGTTACTCAATCGACAGATATAAATATTATGTAGCACTAATCGGAAGTAGAAAACCTTGCACCAGAAGGTTAAGAAGTTCGAGTTGAGGAGAATATAAGGGGAAATAGAAAGGAGTGGTGAACTTGAAGAATCATTCAGAATGTTTGGAACAAATGGTGGAACTTTGTAAATAAAGTATTCAGTGAATGGTTCTTATATTTTATTAAGATATTCTGTAATTTAATATTGAAATACATTGGTAGTCCCCACCTGCATTCTTGATCACAAAACACGCTTCCTGTGAATGGTAAGACAGAATGATTAAGAAACTATGGTTGAAAAATCAAATAAAGTGTATACGAATAATCGGAATTCATATACCTGTCCCTCTGACCTAGAAAAGAACATATTTGCTAAAAAACCTTGAATAAATTATATAATCAACATTATCTAATAGCGTGCCTCGTTTATGATTTTTCACTTACCATTTGGAACTGAGATGGCATATCCTCCCAGTCTACTAGTTACATAAAGAGTGCTCCATTTACTTAACTATATGACACATTGCTTTTGGTTGAGAGGATACAATTTTCACTGATCATAGTTTATTGTTAAATTGAATTTGATCACTAATGTTGTAATTAAACAATAATAGTTTATATGACAGACAACGTTTTCTATCCTTAACTAAGCGTAGTTACTGATGGATGGAATTCCCTCTTTCTTATCATGGGAGAAAATTACAAACCGTTATTAATTAAAAGTTAGTGTTCAGATCACATCTGTTAAAACAGCTTATTGAGCGTTGGTCAATTAAAACAATACGTCAATAATCACTAGTGCCAGAAAATAACTCTATCGTTTGACTGCTTTTCCACACCACCTTCACTTTCAAAACTGAACTCAAATCAATCTACAATACGACTTCCGTAGTCGTTTTATGAAATCATTCAAATCTGTATGTTTTATTAAAAAATAGAAAAAAGTAACAAAAAGATTCATCCTAATTCATATAGAAGCATTCCATGAAGACTCGTGAAATTTAAAAGAATCTTGATCAAACTGAGTTTGTTAAATTTATTTTTTACTGTCAACATCATTCACTGTTTTTATATATCTAACGCCACACTAATACTCCTACTATTCAATAATCCTAGTTATCTTAAATCCATTTTGATAACCTGTATGATGTTAAACATGATCTTTACTAAACCTATCTACTTACTATTATTATTTATTTATTATACATTTTAAAATGACACGAGTTAAACAATTATTGAAAATATCTACTGGATAAATTGCCTTAACTTAGTTTACGCTTTTTCAACAGCATAAATACAGATTTATTAGATTATAATAAATCGAATCCAGGCAATTCAATATTCATGGTAAAAACATTAAAGATCTAGATGAATGGAGATTTATTTGGTTTATATGTATCCTATTTAAATCAATTTACAATTTTCTACTAGTCATCACGACCTAATATCAAACAAATCACATACAACTGTTTTAGAGTGTTCCTCATAGCAAATATTTCAATTAGACGAATAGTATAGATTTAAAAATAAGAAGGAAATCATTAATATAAACAAACAATAAAAAGATCCATAATCCACTGTAGAAAATCTATAATTAAAGAGTATGTACTTATTTCTTCATGAATTAGCTGAACATTCCAATTTCTATATTATTTAAAAATAAACAGATAGAAAACATAACCGTGAAAATATATTATGTACTAAATTCTGTATTGTAAAATATAAATACAAATAGACGCCCACTGCTGAGGAGTCCCAAACTAGGACGAAACGGCCGTCCGGTGCTTCCAGGTTTTCAATAGTGGTCTTATATTGATTGGTTCACGATCACAATTAAAACTCAACAATTTCTACAACCCTATACTGAAAATTGATGTTTGTTATCGTTCTGATTTTGTATCACAATAGTAAACTCATTAAAATGAGACAACTGTCTATTATGATGGAATTGATTTACAGTTCAGGTGTATGGTTTTGAGCACGATGACTTAATTGTGAAGACTTCATTGTTGTTCTGGACAATATCATTTGTACCACCATCTAGCATATGAGAACACAATTGAACTACAATTACTTGTCATAAATATGTATAAGCAAATACCGAAAAGTAAAATGAATTATTATATAGACTAAGAACACTAATATTCTATAGATTAAAGTACACTGGCATCTATTAACATCTAAGCTTATTTATAGAAAGAAATTATATTTCATGTCAACAATGCCGAATGCATAATAATGATAATTATGATAATGTCTATTGAAAAATTAAATGCATTATTATCACTTTTAATACCACAGTGTTAATTATAGCAATGATATGAATTGAATATATAGCTCATTTCTTACCATAGGCGCCATAGTTATACTGATGTTTTATATATTTTCTTATAGGAATATTTTGTAGAATATGTATGTATGTCTTATTTAAGTTAAAGACAAGTAATTATAAGATTTTGACAGATAACAGCAAATTTTTTCTATTTTTTGGCATTACACAAATAATATTCCCATAATAATAAATTTATTACTAAAGATATATGAGTATATAAATATACAAATAAACATCTAGGGATTGAAATCTATCAGAAAATATCAATATTGTACATTAAGTCACAGGCTTCTTGTATTTATTTATATTTTTTTGTAAACGTTGAATGCATATTATAAACTCTTATTTGACATAATGATGAGTCACATTAACAAGTTCATTTTTTTCTTATTTCTTGCAACAATTATGTCGAACAGAAAAATAAGTACGATTATTATTATTACCATTATTATTATTATTAATATTACTATTGCTATTATTATTACCACTAATGTTACCATGATTATTATTATTATTAATATTGCTATTATCATTATTATTATTACCACTATTGTTACTATTACTATTATTAATTTAATTGTCATTACTTTCGTCACTTTACATTATGCATTTTAATTGAATGAGCAAGTATTTTGCATAAAACTCTTGTCTATTTAAATGATATAATTATAAAGAAATTTTGATAAATATTTAATCATGAAAATAGTATAGAAATTCGAATTATTTTTTCCCAATTGTTTTTGATAAATTTGATACTTAACCTTAAGAAAAATTAATAATAAACGATACTTTTCACGAATTCAAATGATCAAGAAATTCATGATCCAACAGAAGTAAGATGATATGAGAGTTAGTTAGATTGTGAAAATTGTCATCTAATTCAAAGTATTTTGAAGGATCAACATTCAAAATATATGGTAAGATGAAATAATGAACCACTTCAACTGAATAGGTATCATTACCACGGTTCGACTTGATAATTTCGAATAAATTGAGCATTGGGTAGATTGTTATAAATAAATATAATATATTTCTAATATCCCAATGAGTAGAAAAACTAGATATTCCGACTTTTCGTAACTCAATGTAGGCCACTTCTTCAGAGAATCAGTAACCAAATTAAAGTTGATTTGGCTGAGGTTTGATCGAATGTACATATGTAACACCACCACAAAGTACATTAATAATTAATCTCCAGTGTTAAAGAGTGGTGTAAGGTGAGTTATCTTGTGATCTAGGTTTATGCTTGAACATGCTAAATAAGTAGTAGCGAGAGGAACATACAGTTCAAATGAACTGAAGTTATTTTAGCTCGATTATCAACTGATAAAGAAGGTAGAGAGGAAAGGATTGTAGTATAAGGAATACACTAGCCACATTTATGCAGTTCATATGTTTGTTTTCTAATAATTCATGAAAATACAATGAGGTGATTGCATAAAATCACCTCTTACCACCCAAACATTGCTAAGGTGGTTTAGTTAAATCATAAGAAATAGGTACCATAGACGTAGAGGTAGATAGAGTTACCTACTTGTTTCATCATATTCTCTAAATGACAGACATCGATAACTTTTGAGTATTCCTTTGGTTATCGAAAGTTGATCTAATTTGAATAAATTATCTATCATTGGTGGCCATTCAGAGACAAATTAATTTGAACATCTCTATTATAAGAGAACGAGTATTAGGAAAGTTAAAATTCTTGGCACTATTTTTTAGATTATCATTATTCATACCTTTATTGCATAAATAATAGATAACATTTTTGTTGTATTGTTAGTTTCCAGTGGATTTATTGACTATTGTTATACTTTCCAATATTCACTGATTATTGCTGATTAATGATCTATTGTTTGCTCCATCCTCAATCATTTGTAGTATAATTGTGCTAAAAGTAGGACTTCTTATTTGATATACTGGGTGATCAAGCATTTTCAGTATATTATTGTGTAAGCTATGAGGCATGATGGAATTACATTTAATAGAGGATTAATCTGCCTCCTACCTGTGTCTTATGATTTGTTACCGAATTAAAAAGAACCCGGAAACCAATAAGCGTTAACACGTAATGTTGTTCATCAGTCAGTGTGTAAATTCATGGGAATATAGTACGTGATATCGATCATATATCTAAAGCCTTAACAAATCAGAGGGTTCTCCAAAACATGACAATCTCAAACTTATAAGCCTTTATCCATAGCCTGAATATGTTAGTTGCAGTCTTTGACTGTAGGTATAAGTTATCAATGATTTTCACCTAGCACGAGACCTTAGTTCAGGGTTGGATGTCAACTATATTCAACTATCAAACGTTAGCTAATTTGCTACCATGCTCGTCAATTTAACATCAACCGTAATTGTATATATTAGTTAAGAGTTGTGATGA